TTTTAATACCCTCTTGGTTTTCGATATTGCTCTGCTGATCACTCTTAACTTTGGACATACGATTTTCGTTACGCAAGAATAGAATGCGAATCAATGGAATAAGATTTTGTTTCGTTAAAAAATTGTTACGAGACACCCTATATCGCAGTGCACACGCTCTCGTAATAGCGAGATGCCGATGGAAAAGTTACATTCCGCAAGTGCTCTGCAAGTCTTGCGTCAACCTATATGTGAACCTCTACTTTTAATAAAGTAAGTTTTCAATACAGAAAATAAAAACACTTTGTTTGCAGTTTGTAATAATAATTTAGTTCCCAATCAAAGTCCTGTAAAAAAAAACAGCATTTTGAAAAACTGACTCATTCGACTCTAAATACTGATATTAATCAAGATTTATCAATGATTTTATTTTAAAATCAGATGACAATTATTTTTTAATGCTGCATTTTTTATTAGCTTCAATTATGAATTAAGTCATTGCCATAAAAAAATTTTTTAAAGATTATCAGTATAAATAAAATATAAATGCTGTACTATTATTTACTGTATTTTAAACTTAATTGAAAATTTGTAAGTCAATTTTTGTGTACTTCAAATCTCGATATTAATTTAATTACTAGATTAATTTAGATTAATTCTTCCGCTGTAAAAATTGGTTAAAGTTTTAAAAAATATCCGCTCTTAAGATACAATTTTCGTATAATGTCTCTTTGACATTTTTTTCCGAAATTTCATCACATAAGAACCTTAAGGCTCTTGCACAATGTCAGGCGACAGAGAAAAAAAATAAAAAAAGGAAAATATCCACCAATAGAAGCGAGGAATATCTAGTTCCTTTTCCTTTTGTATTGATTTTTCCGGTTCCTAGGAATTTTGTACGAGGCCCTTTATTGGATCCCCATTTCTACGTGTGGTAGCTCTTAAGTTCAGAAAAATAGCGTGCTTCTGTCACAGTGGAGTTCTGTTCCGTCATTTACCGTTGCACGTGCATATAACGTGCGTCAAGGGAATCCTGCGAGGAAGCTCTGAAAAATTTCGCGCGATATTCCAGACACGTGAGGTATAGCGTACCCTGTTGCCGAGGTAAATAACGCGCCCGAGGTAGTCGTTTCTCGCGAGGTCGCTCTTCGTCAGCGCTAACGGTATATATATATAATTTTTTTTTTTTTTTAAGTATACCTGTATGCGTCCGAAAAAAGGCGGATACAGGTATGACCAGCCACAATTTATAGAATCGGGTATACGCGTTGCGACGACATTCAAATCGTCCGATGGAGCGTACACATTCATTGACGTCGCGCGTATATAAAGCGAGCAAAAAGGACGGAGCAGCCGGTCGCGTATCCTTAGATCCTCTTCGTCATTATTCAACGCATTCGATATACGCTTTCTCGCCCTCTCGCTCTCTCTCGTGCCTTCGATGACTGATTAAATGATTGATCGTTGGCGGAGAAACGATTATACACTCGGCCGGACAGATCCATCGACCGCGAGCCGGCATAATAAGTGGTGACGAATTAATATTTCGTGTTTGCTGTCGAGAGGAGAGGCAGAAATCGACGATCTATGATACGTGTACGAATAAGAAGAAGACTTTGAGAGCTTGGAAAAAAAAGGAGGAAGATATTTTCAATAAGAAGTATGATATAATTGATCATAGCAGTTTGACGACTCTAAAAGAATCACCGAAAAATGGCGCCAAGAGGATCCTCTTAATTTAAGATGATATTCTTAATTTATTCTTATTTTCAGAAAAAAATATACTAAAATTTAGGGAATTTCTTAAATTAAGAGGATCTTCTTGGCGCTAAGAATACAATTTTTTCGGTGAACTATATGTACAGAGATATGCGTATGATGTGTATGTAACGTTCTCTTAAATTCGTGAATGCTAAATATTTTTTTCTTCTCACGCGAGAAGATTCTCATCGTATACGAAATCTTCTTCCTACCTTTCTTTGGCTCTACATCTGAGCTGTATACGTATTTTGCAAATAGAAAGCTTTTTCAAAGTTCAACACATACGTAAAGACCTGGATATCTCTGAGAACATGTATTTGTTTGGACGAGTGGAGAAAGTTTGAACAGAAGCTAATATGATTATATAGGTGAAAAAAACGCATTGCGTTATCGTATTCTACATTGTTTTTCGAATGAATAATTTTAATGACATTCAGATTTAATCATGTCTATTTGTTTCGAAATGAGATAAGATGTCGAAAAAATAAAGTCGGGATATTTAGTATTAATCTATAATAATCGATAAGAGTGAAAAAAGTACATTCTTTAACTTAATTATCTAAATATTGATAGCATTGAATGAAGAAGAAGCATCTGATATTAGAAAAAAAGTTATCCGTGCTTCCGGCTGGATCGCCGAAATTACGTGGTTTCCAGAACGAATGAATTATCCTTCCCATCTGTTTCGGTTTCCTTACATTTCTATATCCTTGTCTCGAGTAATTTTGTGATACAATGTTTTTGTATAACCCTTTAATATGCGCAACGGAATCTCGACTCTCGTCGCCTGTGGCATTAATAAAGATCCCTTCGTGGAAGTCGCTTCTTCCCCTCGAAAGAGAAATTCCTCGAATTCTCATAGAAATTCTCGTGCAAGGAATATACGGTTCCTGCAATTTGAACAGTTGACAGCGATCGCACAAATTTATAAGTTTTCGAACGATTAAAGCAGCGAATGTAAATCCTTTCTCAAAATTAATAAATTAATTCAATTTGAAGTTTCCTATAAAACTCGATCGAAATCTGTCTTTGATGATTTATGATCGATTACAGTATGCCTAGAAGCTATGCCGAGCCTACGTTCCGCTAGCAACATAATCTCGACGCGACATGTGGTGAAAGTGTGCGAAAAGGGGAAACGGTGTCGGCACGTAAAAGTACGTGTGGCGGGGTTCGAAACAATGCCGATGGGAAAAGGAACGAAAGGAAACGAGAGAGGCGAGAAAAAATACGCAAAAATTCCCCATCCGCGAATATACACACGGTTGCACGTTCGCGAGAGAAAACGTCGATAACAACTACCTCACCCAAACGTCAAACTATGAAAATTACACGTGAAAGAGAAAACGCCGCGATGATAATGAATAATGTGAAGTGGCGTTTTATCAGAAAATCACACCTAAGAGTGTTCAATAATGCAATAAGTATAAAGAGGCGTGCACTCGGTAAATTCTATTTCCCTCTCGACAAGATCGAGACAATCATCTTTTTCAACCTTCCATTTTCTGTAAAGTAAAACGCGCGAGTTTCTTCTTATTAATACTAGAAATTGTATTATAATCTAGATTAATATGTCAAAAAATTATCTCTTCAAATTTGTCTCTTTCAAACTCTCTTCTATATTCTGGTTTCTCTCCGACTTTCTCCAATTTCGCGTTCTAGTGCTAAATGTTGTTTCGTCACACGTTGCTTAAATTAATATACGGAAATAGCTCATAATATACAGAGGCGAAATATCGCGGATATAACTGCGCATCCTCGAGAAACGTCATCTTGTGATTTTACGAGACGGCGGCGGTGGCGGCGATCGCGTTTGAATTTCGCCAGCGGCGATGTTTTGCGGTAACTGCGAATTAATTCAGAACATGTTTAAGAGCCATCAACGGCCGCCTACTCGTGCACATTTCTTTGAGCGCGCAGTAACTACATGCCACGTTATGATAATTAAGAAACGAATCGGCCATTCATGGCGAGCGACCATCAATCAGGATAATCGAGTGTCACCGACGAATTTTCACAGACCGAATGTCGTATCAGAATGCACATTGGTTATTAAAGTTAGAATTTGTCCGTATAAGAGATATTCGCAGTAATAATGATCTTATGAAATTAATAATCCGTGTAACAACAACAGATTTTTTATAGATCAGTATACCTATAAAAAAATTATATTTCGATAGTATGATTGATTGTCAAAATTAATAATGTAGGGAATTATTTAAGTTATTGCAGGACACACTGTAAGAAATTACGCGAGATAAATTATATTATTTTGCATATCTTTATATAAACATTTCATGTCAGAAATATTAAAATTCATACAGAGAATTTTCTTTTAGAATTTACTTGGAAAATTATAGTAATTGTAGGACAATATGATAGCGGATGGATTTTAGAGTTTCTCTGATTAATATTTACCACAATAAATTAATCCAACGTATGTTATATCTCATTGTGATATAGATATTAATGTTTTTGATTGTGGTAAAAATATTAATCCGAGAAACTCTTATAAAATTCTTCCAATATCATTCCCACAATTACCATGATTTTCAAGGTAAATTCTAAAAAAAAATCTCTGTACATATTTTTATTTTTGATATTTTTTTATTGTTCTTAAATATTAAAACAAAATAAAAAATATCACAAATAAATAGAATTACTAGATAAAAGATTGGATCTTTTTTAATTTTTATTCTTATTCAATAGTGTTTATTATTGATATAATAAATGTATATACTATAATTGCAAATCTGCTAAAGCTGTAAATATAATCATCAGCTATAGATATATAAGTATAATCGTATGTCAAATGACACATTGACAATTTATATAACGCACATGAATAACAATTACCGCGCTCGAGTGCATTTCCGAAATCGCGCTCGATCCGGTCTTGACTTTTCGTTTATTTCCGCGTTTGACGACGATCATCGGAAAGATATTGCATGCGCTGTCTAGCGTAAAATCGATATTAAGAAAAGTCGCGTGACTTCGTCGCGGCGCTTCCTTTTCCTGCTTTCGTAATGGCTTTGGAAACGCCGCGTCTTAAGTGCGGTTTATCGAAAATTATCGGAGAGTTATGCAAAAGCCGGCGATGCAATCGCGGAAAGACGAACGATTCTATCCCTTGAATTTCATTAGATTTCCCAAGAGAGATCGATATGTAACGCGTCGACTTTTCCTTGCTCACGTTTTTGCATATTTTGCATATGAATTTTGTACATGAATTTTACAAATTGTATATTTTATTTGCGCAGGTGCAGAGGCTTGCTGACTACGAGAGGTATTTGGGACAGGAAGCGAGGAGTTTGATAGATAACGAATGCATCGATAGCGGGACAGTTTTACACCGTGGTCAATTAGAAGGTGATCTTCATCGTATCCAAGAATTGTTCCCCGGCGATAATTTACGGTTACACGAGCGAGATGTCGTTACTATGGTAAGAAGAAACTTTTTTATTAATATAAAAATTTAATTTTTGTTTTTTCATAATCTATCCTAATTTCGATCGCATTAATCGCGCAATATTGCATATTTCTACAGATAATTCATAAATAAAATTTAGATTTTTAACAATTGAAAGGAATTGCCATATGATTCAGTTATATACATATAATAATTTGAAACCACATGTTATTTAATTACAAGCTCATATAACAAAAGTAATTGTCTGAATGAGACACATCCTGAGATACATTTTATTATTCGTATCTATATAAAATTCATTTGGCAAATATATAAATGTGAATTCTAATTCTAAATTTTTGTCGGAGAAAAACGATTCAAAATTTCGTTACAAATCGTGATAATGATAAAAATTATCATCTCTCTACGAGGTCTATAATTTGCAAGAGGCATTCCACTCTCCTTCGTAGAAAATACACGAACAACCCAGAGACTGCTAACAAACGGTATTACGCACAATAACGTTGCGATTCAACCTTTCTCACGGTCATTTAGATGCATCTAGTTTTTCTGCGTCCCGTGGAAAGTGCATCGTCTCGCGTGTCGCTAACGTGGCAGTTAGAACGCGTATATGTATACGCACTTCCTTCCCACGTTTGTTAGCGTATATATCATCCGGATGTACAAGCATACCGATAATTTCTCCCTGCCATTCTAACTCGGCCGGCTGCTGCGAAACGGTGAAATTGATCGTTCAATAGAGCACTCGCTTTCTGCATCTATGCGAAAAAGTAGAGGCTGAGAGTAGAAACTGTGTCACCGCGAGAGAGGCTGGATGGAAGCCCCCCGGTTGGATCGACAATAGGATGATATTTATATTATTATGTAGAAAGCGCGTCGTGCTCTTTTCATATAATTCCGGGATACAACGAAAGTTAGTAAGTACTGTAAAAAAATTTTTTTATAAAAAATGAAAGATTTTATAAATTTAATTAATAACTGATGAGAGATCTACTTTGATCAATAAATGAGTTATGATTTTTTTTGCTATTTTTCTGAATATACGTAGCATTTTTTTCATTTGTTTATATTGAAATTATAAGATCAATATAATGTAAACTTACACACGTAAAATTATTATGCGGTAAAAATAATATTATTTTACGTCTAAAATTATTTATGACGTTTATGCATTATTATATTCACGCAATCGCATCTAGGCATTTTTATTCCTATTTAAAATATTAGTATCGCTCTCAAAACTTTTAAAACTCTTGGACGATGCACTTTCCAATGTAATGTCATAAGGAATAGCGAATAATTCATTTGATGGGTTGGATGTGTTAGGCCACGGTGTCTGGTCCAGGTTTGACGCGTTATAATAACGCAATACAATGAATCGGGGAGAGAAGGTGGGTGATAGCCGGCGGGATCACCAGAAATGATTTCGTAATCGAAAAGAGTTGAACGAAGAATAGAGGATGTTGAGACACACGTTAGAAAATTTAATAAGCCGGCATATGTTAATCAGCTTGCTCTCGTCTTTAACACATCTTAGAGAGAGAAAGAGAGAATCATCGCTTGCCGACCAAATTTGGTAGTGACATTTTTTTGGGCGTACTGATAATCCTCCGCACGTGTAGCACGTGTGGCATATGTACATGACGCGATTAAATGTGATAGCGAAATTAGTCTAAGCGAAATTCTCCACTCGAGTCATTGCAGGACTTAAGATCTTCTCTAAGATCTTGAGATTAGATTTTTAATCTTGTAATTAGATTTTTCTTTCTTGCCTATCTTCTATTTTCGAGTATATTTTTTCATATTTTTATTACATGTGCTTATATACAATCTCTTTCTATGATAAAAAATACATTAAAAATGTATATTTAAATGGCAATACATTATTCTGAAGTTTTGTCATTTTTTCCGAAAGTAGCTAATCATGTTATTAATCATAGAAATTTTTATCTAATTCTGCTGTTATTTTGTTTTCAGAAAATGAAGAATATGTTACGTAAAAGGAGTAGTGGTACTCCAGCTAGACTAACGAGAGGACTTTCCCAGAAAACTATAGATTCTCCGGATGGTTCTCCAACTTCAAAATCGCCGACTAGAACTTTTCTCTTGGAAACACCAGTCCAATTTACCACGGTGTGTAAAAAAGATTTTCTTCTCATCACACTTGTATATTAAAAAATATAGATTTTCGTGAATTTCTCAGAGAAAACTATAAAATAAAATAAAATTCTTTTCCTCAAATCTTCAACAAATTTAAACAATTTACTATTTATATCGATATTACAGTTCAAGATTTTGCTCAATTATATAGTCTAAAGATATAAATTTTTAAATTTATTCTAAAAATTAGGGCATGCAGTCTCAGGAGAGGCATCTCTTCCTCTTCACCGATCTCCTGCTGATCGCGAAAGCACGCAGTGGTGGAAACTTTAAGCTGAAGCAGACCGTGAGGATGAGCGAACTCTGGCTTACATCGGGTCACATAGAGGACGTGGCAGAGACCAGCAAATCTGCAGAAACTAGCTTCGTTCTCGGCTGGCCTACTACAAACGTCGTGGCCACTTTTATGTGAGCAAACACTTGATTTTACTTTTCAAAATTGTGCAATACTCCAAACAGATGAAGACAATTTTTCTTTTATTTTGTTATTTTATTTTCTTATATTAATTTGCAAATCAATTTCAATGGTTATTCAAAAGGAGAGTAAATGCTTAATTTTTTTTACTGATTTCCCTGATAAGGGAGACCCCTCTTGCAGACACCCATGCAGACAATCGTTTTATCGCGATTGTATTTATACTTGTAGGACCGCTGCAGCGCGGGATCTTTGGTGGGGACGTCTAAATGATCTCGTGCGGGAGGAGAGTATGAAGGAGCCGCCACATACAAATATTCAAATTGTATACCACGACAACGACACGAACAGCGACTACGTAAGTGCGCCTGCCTTTTCAGACTCGCCTTCGCGCGGTCCATTCTTCGCGCATAGCTCGAATCCGCGGGAATGAATCGTTCGACCTGTATTTTTTCTCCGAGAGAGTTGTCTTTTATTATCGCGGACATCAGAGTCGAGTTTGAGTCACCGTCGCCGCCTATCTACTATCGGGCCACGCATTGTACTCGCATCGTCTTCAGTCACCGTTCATAATTCATTGACATTGTATAGATATAAGCCGCTAGGATCGCAAATGAATTTCCGTTAGATAAACCATGTCTATCGTCCGGTAAACAAGCCTCAACGGGGCCGTAATATGCCATATTATTCATCTCTTTATAGCCTTTCTCTCTGTCGGCGAGAAAAGAATACATATACGTACGTACTATTTTGCATTTTACAGTGTAAGACGATCATGGTCGGCTCCGAGATGACGGCGCAGACCTGCGTGAACATGGCAGTGCCGTTGTGGGATCTTCAAGGACCCTTCCAGTTGTGGGCCCGAACGTTCCCGGACGAGACGCCGTATCCGTTGATAGGACACGAGCGACCATTCGCCGTGAAGATGTCGCGTCTACGACACATGCTGTCGACGGACGAGGGTTTCGATCTGGAGCACATCAACAACAGCGGCGTCGATCTGTGTCATTTTATCCTCAGACCAGTGATGAAGACGCCCGCGAAGAAGAACAACCGGTCAAAAATAACCGGTCTGTTACGGCGCTCGCTGTCGTTGAATCCCAGTCTCTTTGGCGTGAATTTGTCACGGCTGGATGAAAATGGCTTGCCCAAGCCCGTTCTGGTGATGCTGCAGCAGCTGTTCGCGAAGGGCCCGTTCACGCAAGGAATATTCCGCAAATCCGCGAACGTTCGAATTGTCCGAGAGTTGCGAGATCAAATCGAATCCACGGGAGATCTCAGCTGTCTAGAAGACGCGCCAATTATAGCTGTAGCTGCTTTGTTGAAGGAGTTTTTAAGATCTCTACCAGATCCTCTCTTGACTTCGCATCTGTTTCCTCTCTGGATGGAGAGTTTGGACACACCGAGTCCTGTTCAAACTATTAAAAGGTATTATAATAAGGCTATATCCAATAAAATTTATTTAAATATATCGATTTTTTGAAAATATAAAAGTGAAACTATAACTAAAAAAATTTGCAGCATTCTAGACAGGCTCCCGAAGGCGAATTATACCTTGCTCTCGCATTTAATCTGCGTGCTACATCATGTGGCGAGACGATCAAAACGTAATCTTATGTGCGCCAGTAATCTTGGCGTCTGCTGTGGTCCGAGTTTACTTTGGTCATCGAATCCATCAGTGAATCAGAGCAGATCGATTCCGACAATCACCGAAATGCTGATTCGTCACTGTGAGGATTTATTTGGTGCCGGCGTCACGCAACTCCTCGGAGAAGACACACGTAGCGATAGCGGAGCTGAGGAGAGCACCGATAGCCTTCATTGTAAATATTATAACATTATTATTAAAATCTCAGAATATTATAATGTTAGAGAATATTAAAATGTTAAAATATTACAAAATACTTTATATTGATTTAATTGAATTACTTATTTAATTAAAATGGATTTTGATAAATATCTTCGTATTATTAACAAATTTTTTTATGGTACAGCAGGTGGGATATCCTTGGATAGTCTAGATCTAACGGAAGCACCGCGTAGGGATCCCATGTCCCTGTCAAGAGACTCGGGCTTGACCTTGTCGGATTGCCAGTTATTTATTCCGGAGTCGCCTGTAGGCTCGGAAGACTCTGCTCCGAACGCTCCATCGTCCAATAATTACGATAAGCCTCTTGTGAAGGAGGAAAAGTCCAATGGTAAATCCTACGTTCCGGTGTATAGATGTGGATGGGAAGAGAGGCTCAACGGTTACGCGTCCAGTAGCCATAATGTTACGAATAGCACGGAACATAACTTTCGAGAGGAAAAGGCTAACGCGTGTTACTCCAATCCACCCCAATCGTCCAATTTTCAGCGGCAGGACTGGCTACGGGCACAGCTTAAAAGAACACCTAGAACGAACAAACTGGATGAACACGAGCATCGAAAAGAAAGATTCGGTGATAAAGATATGTACGATAGAGAATACCTCAGACAGGACGCGATGAAGGAAAACGTAGAGAATTGTAAGACTTATCGGAGGCAGTTGAACGTAACCTACGATATATTATCGGAAGATTACGACAGTAAGAGCTCGCAGCAGGATATTCGAAGCGCCGAACGAGTATCGATTCACGACTCGGAGCAGGATCTGACAAATGGCAACGATACGCTCCGGTCGGACAACGATCGCTACGAATTAATTAAGAAGAAAGAGCGCTTCAGCGAGTTTAAGAAAGTCAAGTCCTCGGAGGTCCAATATGTAAGTCTGGAATCACCGATGACGGAGAAAGAACGTCGTCGACAAGCCCGTGATTGCGAATTGTATGACGACTACGTGAGAGTGAAGGCGATGTACATGAAAGCGCTAAAATACCGTAACAATAAAGACTCGAACGGCGAGTCGGACGGCAAAATTAATTATTGCGAGGACAGAAGTCGATCGACCGAAGTTTACGTGACTACGGATACGAACGATTCGTACAAGGGTGTGATGATCGACAATCTGAGTGAAGACGAACAGGAGGAAAGGACGTCGTGGCCGGATACACCGCCGCCTTTGCCGCCGAGGCTCAGGCATTTGCCGCCAGTGCACATGAACCTCGAGGACAGGCACAAAGCGGCCGGTAGATCCAGGTCTCTGCCGCCACCACCTCCCTATCGACCGCCGCCACAACCTCGCGCCCCTATCACCACGAGGCATCTAGGATTCGGTAGATCCGTCGTTGACGATGAGAGTTACGTCTGAGTACAGAAAACGACAAATCTGTGCTACCTCGCAATCGTCATCGAAGACTCCCTCCCTTCCTCCTCTCTCCCCTTTCCATTATCATTTATCACTCAACATGTATAATGTTTAAGTCGTGGACCCGCTCTACGACGGCTGAACCTAGTCCAAAACCGAAACACATACATGCGTAGTACCGAGAACAATGAAAAAGTCGTGGCGTTTGAAAGCGCGTTATCGCGATTTTTCTATAAGAGCGACGAGTACTTAACTTCGTCCTCCTTTGATCAAACTTAGAAATAACGAGACGAATGAAATAAATTCGACACGTGAGACAGTAAAGTGGAATTCGCTGTCTACTTGTGACCGCCGACGATAGATCTTGGCCCGTATTCTCGTCGTACTTTCAGCATCTTCATTCGATTTTCATTTAATTTCTGCTTTAACATAATTTTTTTGTATAAACAGACAAAAAAATATTTTAGTTTAAATGATCATATTGAAGGCTAAAATGCTATACTGTGTCAAATCGAGGATCCGGGCCTGTTATTCAGTGATTCAGGGTGCTTCCACGAGCGTTAGTTCATACTATTAATAGACTTAATATTTGCGTATTTAGGTAGCTAACTAAGCAATAGATTAACGGATAATGTTAGCGCCAAGACGATACTATGAGTAATTTTTTCTTACGTAAATAATCCTTGTAAAAAGATTGTCTACAAACGCATCGAGAAAGTTTTGTGGGAATACAATCTGATGTTGCCTATTAATAATACATTAATAGATACAACAGTCGATATATATGTAACATTTTCTGTAATATGTTTTATAACGTCTTAACCAGCGGAGAATGTTTTATTCTTGTAAATGGATTTTAACAGATGTATTCTCCAAATCGAAATGTACTTTTCTATCGATATTATCGATATGTGACGTGTTTATATATTTTAAGTTTATAAAATGTTAGAGGACCAGTCGCGGGAATAGTTACATTGATATAAATTGCGTGTAAGAATTTGAGAAAATAAATTTATAAAGAGACTTGTTAAATATTTTACTCGCGTAACTGGTATCAATTTGAAGCTGACTTTAAATTTACGAGAGTCGTCTTTTTCGGCGCTTTCTCTCTTTTTTTCGCTTTCTTATCTTTTTTTTTTAATTGGCTCTGTAAGCAGTGTGTTCGTAGTTGTATTTTAACAAAATCTCATTTTATAATGGAATTATTAGCTTTTTGAGATATATTTTTTCCACACATGTGTTCACACAAAATCTGTTATATTATATCTTATTTCGCTTACTTCGAGCAAAAACGACTCTTCCCCATAAACAATAATAATAACGACAACAATAACAATATTTCGTTTCTGACAATCGTAATATGATTTGCAAATATAAGCCATTGTGCGTGTATAGTGCGATTATGTTAGCAGATATAGATTACTACAAGAAACTTTGAAGTGTTACTACATGATCAGCCTTCTCGTTTTTTGTATATATTAAATTGTAAAACTGTCATCTTTCTTTTATATCGTTAAACTTATGATATAATGTATAACATCCATGAGGTATGTATACTTATCTAAATTATATATGTTATGCTATAAAAAAAGCAAATATATATATATATATACATATATATATATATTTCGTATTTTATACACTTACGAGTTTTTTCAATTACACAACCCATTTCCTTTCATTATTCAGAAGTAATTTTTTCCAAGAGGATTTTATTTTTAAATCAATTTTATAAAAAAATTAGTGTCAAAAATTGTTCTTTGCTATACATTTTTATATATATCTACTAGAATCTAGAATAACAAACGTGCGCGTTTAATTTTATATTAAAAAGAACGATATTTAAACTCGAATAGCATATTTGCTAATTAAATTTTAAAATAGTAATATATTAAAAATATTAATAAACAGTGAATATGTGAATGTAGTGAATAATATATGTCTCGCGATTAATACTCTGACAGAAATCAGTTGATACTGTCAAAAATATGAGTCGTATTTAAAGTACTCTAACATATTATTTAAAATATATTATAATTTTAATTTTTATAACATGTTAAAATTTAATAATTTGTCATGAAATAAATTTCCGATATATTGATAAATGTGACATGTATTTGCCATGCTCGCAAATACGCCTGAATTAAAATCTCTTTGCCATATATACTCTTTCAATGCACACCTCTTTGCGAAGTGTTCTTCGTGTAATTTCTCGTTAAAGTTAAAGGAAAACATATGTGGCAAAGAGGTATGTATTATTGCGCGAAGAGATTAATCAAATCGTGTGTGATTTTAAAACTTCTCGGAAGGTACACATTGTTTGAAAACTACATTACCAACTGAAGACATGTATGATTATTAGAAAAAATTTATCGACGAAACTTTACAGTCGGTAAATGCACAATCTAAATTTAATATATTGAGTTTTTCAAAATCTTTCGCACAATATCTCCTAATAAATACCTATTTGCAACATACATGTTGTTCTATTAACTCAGATCAGCTGGTGATGTGGAGAACAGATTATGCGAAGAGGTTTTAATTTAGGCATGTTTAGGAGCATGTGATGGTTGCATCTATTTCTGTGTTTTGAAATGCTTTTAAAACAGTAATAATGAACAAAATGCCGCAAATATTAAATAAACTAATCAATACAACACATTACTTTAGATGTAATAAATTTTTGCCAGCTTTCTCGGTAGTAAGAAATATGGGTAAGCATCATATTATGATATTTTTATTTAAAATACCTTATTGTATAGGTTAAATTTTTATTTGATGCTTTTATGCTGTCATACAAATATATAATTTAATAAACATGAAAAAATTAATGGAGTATTAATGATACTACATGGATATATAAAATAATTTGACACTTGTAGCTACAGTGAAACGATTTTATAGAAGAACAAATATACTTTCAAGTGGGGATAAGTTTGAGATTACATTGGATCAAAGGAAGCTGAAGACACCTCAGGGTAGGGTATTCGAAGTAAATAGCAAGCCCCTGGCTTTAGCAGTGGCTGCCGAATGGGATGCACAGAAGGAGATCATTGACAGAGGAAGTATGCATTTGGTACGAAATCATGATTATGTTTGATTGTTCAACTACCTTAGCTTGCATTATTATTTCGTATCTAATGTAAAGAAACGCGATAAGACTTTTGTGAACACAATTTATGGAAAAGAATATTCTTCAAAAATAATGAAAAGTGCATTTAATATATATTTGTTAAAAAAATGTTTAATCTAAATGAAAATATTCAGTGTTGTTTTATTTATTTAATTGCATTTAATATATGTATATATAATATAAAATCTTGTTATGTTACACATGCTTATGCACTGCCAATTCAATCTATTCAGATTTTATTTATATTCTCTAATGTGTTACATGTGTTAATGTATTTGCAGACATCCTTATGCAATACCGTATTGGACAATCCACATAATTATACCAAGATAGATCTGGTCAATCATATAGTGAACTGTTTAGAAATGGATACAATTTTATTTTATTCAAGTGTAAGAAAGTGTTTGTACAAATCGTCAATGCTTTTTCCCCCATATAACAATGTGACATTTCCATTATAATGATTTGTGACTATTTTTAGGATGTGGATGAATTATATCAGTTACAAATTGAAAAGTGGGAGCCTATATTTCGTTGGTTTTGTGAAAACTACGATGTGGACATTGCAAGAACTCAGGGTATAGAAGCACCTACTGTATCTGTAGAAACTAAAACTGCTTTAACAAAGCATTTATTGTCCTATAATTTTAATAGTATTTATGGTATGTAATGCTAATTTATGAAGAGATGAGAGTATTTTTATTCATATATTAAGTATTATTTATGCATATAGGTGTTGTGTATGCAGTAGATGGATTAAAATCGGTTATCCTGACTCTTGCGACAGTTGCAAGAGTAATTAACGTCTTGGAAGCTGTAAATCTTTCACGACTAGAAGAAGAATATCAGGTATAGATATAAAACACTTTGATTTTATCTATGATAAAAATGTCAATAGAAATTGCTTCTTATTTATCATGATTTCATGTTTTCGTTATATATTAGCCTTATATATTTGCACAGATCTCTCATTGGGGTAATGTAGAATGGCATCACGAGTATAGCAAACATGACTTACAAGCGCGTCTATCGGCGGCAATGTTATTTGTATACTTAAACTCTCATTCCGCTACTTCGCGACTCAAAAACGACGCCCCTAATGTAAGCTAATCCTATTTCGATCATTAAAGAATCACTACGTCAATAGATATAAAATTTGTAAGAACAACGTGTTTGCTGCAATATAACATTGTAACATCGATACCAATTGATTACTCCCTTGGTGCTAATTAATAAGAGCTGGGAGGAATCTGCTATATCCATCAAGGATTACTTCTAGCGATAAATCAGACAGGAATGGAACAATCAGGTCCGACCCACTCTTTTGTACAAATACAACTGAAAAATCGATGAATAATTACTTACATAATATTATGTAACATTATGTGGTTTTTATATAGAATGTTCTAGATCCTTTCATCCTTTTTTCGCGTAAAAATGGAATTATTATAGATTTCTTATACATTACCTATACGATGCTCCATGATGCAAGCACACCGCACCATTCTTGCACGAATGGCGAATGCATTCGTTGCGATTGCATTCGCCCACGCCACGGCCAGTAGCAGGACTAGAACCGGTCAAAGGAAGAATCGAGGTATCTGTGCGCAATTCGACGTCAAATATACATCCGGAAAAGCCGGTGTGGAGAGGTAGATCATGCGGCAACGTCTCGAAGTTTTTCGACTTGTAACCACCTACGAAAAAGTATCTTTTCTGTCTATTTTTATCCATTTAACTATATTTAAAACATTAAATGTCATCTTCATTTTGACTTTTACTTGTCTTTGATGTCAAGATATCTTTAACGTTTCAATGTCAGATACAAGAGATGAGAATTTAATAGCCTTATGTAACGTAAAATATATGATGAAAGATGAAATTCTGCTGACACGATGCCAAATATCAAGCCGCTCTTTTTCTGTGACGTACCAATATAAAGAACGGGTGATACATCAAGTTGTGTCATCGATCCTACCGCCTGACCGGTCACGTTGCTGAGACCTTCTACTGCAAGCCATGCCTCCTTGCCTCTCCTTCCAATTCTGAGAGTGTACGTTTTACTTTTACCAGCCGATCCTGCCACGGTTAGCGAGTTTAACGAATCGCTGGTGAAGATTCTTCGCACTCCTATTGAAAGTTAGAACACAAGTATGTAATTCAAGCAATAACCAATTTTAATATTCTTAACTGATTTTAATATTCTTCCAAAAAAAGTTTTACTCTATAGACATCAAAAAATGTATATATCATTGTATAGATTTTCTAAATATCATTTTATAATTAATCTATACTTGCAATTTATTATATATTTAAAATATGGATAATTTCGAATATAGAGATAAGAATTCATGATTTACCGGAACCCAAATCCCACGTGAGCATAATGTAGCCACGCACGAATGTTATTGAGAGGTGATCCGAAACATCACGGCGCGACCCTCTCTGTCCGAGATAAGCTATCAAGGAGATTTGATCGAATGTGCGCGGGATGAGTCGCAGCTTCAGTTCCATTGTGTTTTTTATCGGAGTCGACACACCATAAGCGATGTATGACGCGAAACCGGGAACGAGGACCGAGAAGGCTGGCCGCACTAGGATAGCATCTGGAAGAGAAGAAAATTTATCCTAAATAACTTCATACTGCAATCTTATTGCATCGTCGCTCTATATCAAATATTTATTAAATATTTCCTTAGCTTATTATTATGCATATAATATAATTTACCTTCTTCGCAAAAAAGCCCGTGGCTGCCGAGCGGACAAACACAAATGAAACCAGTTCCTGGCGAACTTACACACGTCGCACCCATCGCACAAGGATTATCGTTACACGCCGAATGTTCGCACAAAGGTCCGGTGTATCTATAAATAATTTGTGGTAGTTATCATTGTGCTTTTAAGAATCTATTGCGCCCCATATATTCATATATAGATCAAAGCTAAAATTCGGAAGTTAAAAATTAATTATAATTGTTTTGTAATTTTTTTTTTATGTCTCATTTTTTTTTATTAAATATATAAAGATATTGGATGTAATATATATTAGAAAAACAAAAAAATTGCTGATTTCTTTAATTAACAGATAAAGAATATTTACCCAGCTATACATTTGCAGCGAATTCGACCCTCGTTTTCTTCACACGCTCCGAAATTCTGACAAGGATTGGACAAACATAAGAACGACGTGCATTCTTCAATCTGAAACGTTTCTGTGGAGTCGTGAATAAAATGTCGCGAAATACCATTCACCTGCAATACAATTTTTATTATAAATAACTCTGTGCAAAGAGAAAACTTGATATAAAACATGAATATTTTTTTTAATTCAACTCTGAATAATATTTTACTTTCAGGGAATCCATGCAACCAATGAATCCCATAGCTACGTGAGGGAAGTAATGCGAGAACGTTAATGGAATGCCTCCTATATATAAATTGGCGTATTTTGGAATCAATTTTCCTCGTTGTGGCAGTATTTGTTCGCCGGTTACGGCCATAGTGCCGTTGACCAGCAATTTGGCAAAACATTTCTCGTTTTCATCATTGGCAACATATTGAAAGCTAGAAGAAAAAAATTATTTTTTTATATAATTTTATATAAAAAAGATATTTAATATATAAGATTATTAGATATATAAAAATATTTAATACATAAGATATATAAAGATTTTTAGATACATATATAAAAAAAACGATTTAACTAATTAATTTTTATACAATAAATTTTTAAATGATTTAATATAACAGAAATTTATATTTAAAACTAATAGAATCATTATTTATAATTTGCGTACCTCATATCAATACCCACTTCGAATCCATTATCGATAATGGCATCGATTTCACCGAGTAACATAGTTTCCAGACCGCAAGAAAATTGAAACTTCAATGATCCAAGTTCCAAATACACTAAAGAATATCTCTCGTTGTCGAAGTAAACGTGCAATATTATTCCGTTCTTAAATGCCGTTTTAAGCTTAACAAAAATTCGGAGCGTTGCACTCTTATTATCAGAGATAATTACTTCCACGCGTTGTCTGACAAAAGATTTGCCATTAAAAGCCGCTTGCGTAATGGTCGAATCTGTCTTGCAGCCGTCAGCATACTAAATAATCATTAAAATATAAACGTATTATAAACGTAATATAAACGTATTAATATCGTAACTTAAAAGAATAACTCACATCTTTTTATTAAAAAAAATTATTTCAAAATCTAAATATTTAATTATAAAATTAATATAACTGCTTACCTCGGTAACATTACGCGAAGTTAATGTGGTAGTACTTGTGGAACATTGATTCCCGCGGCAAGCACCGATTTCCGTGGTGCTGACTTCGATACTAGTAGCGTGACTTAATGAGGACACGCTGGTGGACGTTAACGGGGAAGATACCGTAGGAGTCTCGAATCTCACAGTCGAAGTTAATACTGATGGCAGTGTCGACGAGGTAGTTAGAGGTAGAACAGTTCCAGGCGGTTCCACGACCGTAGTTCCGAGTTCGAAGCTTCTGTTCTGTAACGATTCCGTCGTGTATCGGAATGTCGCATTAACAGGAAGTGTTGCATCGGTTGCACCGTGATCCAAAATAGCGCTTGTTGCTGTAGTCTTTTCTATCTGACCTTCATCAGTATCTAGCATTGTTGGTCGATGACTAAATGGAGATGGAGTCTAGCGTTATTATAAAATTATTATGAAAATAATTGTTATATTCAAACAAAATCAAATATATTCGTATGAGAGATTAAAACAAGATGCATTAATTTGTTACAATAAAAATATCAATATTCCAAACAAGCATTATGCTATTTCTTCATTTACCTAAAAGTTGTCATGTACTCCGTTACACGCGTTAAGTCTTCATCCACTGTTTTGGAAGTCGGTGATGTTGCTTGATCAACATCCTTAGTAACTTTACCATCATGAATCGATCTTCCGGTTGGAGAATAAACTTCAACGCCTTCTGTTTCAGTTACGTGGGAGAAATCTTCGGTAGCAGCGGATGACATTGTTGCGACCTCCGATGTCACGACATCATTTCGAGTTGTGTCTTTACTAATCGTGAAACCCGTTGATGGAATTTCAGTAAGAGAGATACCACTCTCGCTGCTAACACTAGGAGAAGCTCCGTCCTCGTATCCTGAGGTCGTCTTCTCCATAATCGTGTAGCTCTTCGTGTAAAGCGAGCTAGTTGTTCTCGAAGACGTCGAATACATTGCAGATTCAGATGTTGATGACAAAGACACAGACGTTTCCGCTACTGAAGTTGATCCTCTAGGCGAAACAATGGCAGTTGTAGTTTTAATCGCACTTGTTCCCTGCTCGGATGTCTCCTCAGCTTCTGCAGCGATGGTTGTCGAAGAGAAACTGTATTCGCACATGGGACCACTGTAATTCGGTAGACAGGAGCAAGTGAAGCTGTTGATTCCATCGATGCAAGTACCACCGTTGTCGCATTGTGCAAATTTCGACTCGCAATCGTCGTACTTTAAATCGCATAGCGCGCCGTGATAATCGGGCACGCAGTAACAAACTGGATGATCATCCTCCAGCAGGCAAACTGCTCCGTTTTGGCAAGGATTTTCATCACATGGTACAATTGCCCTGTCGCAATCCTTGCCGGTGAAACCTGATATGAAAATAGATATATGATAAACAATGTAATTACACGAAAAAAATATTTTATTATTAATTATGAATTCAAGCTAAATGAGAAAAATATAGAAGTAGAGAATATATGTACTATTATTTTTAAATTTAAACACAGTCTTTATAAAGTTTCAATTTTATGAATGAAACTTTGACTTCATTCTTTCCCTTTCCTGAATGAAAAATCTGCGATTTGTGAACCACTCACCAAATAAACATGCACAAGTATAGGAAGCTGGAACATTGATACAGAGACCACCGTTTTTACATGGTGACTTCAAACACTCGTCGACGTCCATTTCACAGAAAGTACCGGTCCACCCTTCAAATCGTAAAGAAGAAGATACCATGAAGAGAAAATATATTTTTTTAAAAGCAAAATATTATTTATATATATGTAACAATTTTACACAAGTTATACCTTCATGACAGCGGCAATAAAATGACATTCCGGGACCTTCGACGCATTCGCCGGAATTTTTGCATATTGTCTCGTTGCAAACAGAAACGTCAATCTCGCAATAATCTCCTATAGAAGACAACAAAATTAACAATTATGGAAAAATTTCCATATTGATCTGATAAATATCAGATAAATTTATCATCACAGGTCACACCTGAATATCCCTCCGGACACTGACAAGTGATGCCATCGTAATCGATGCAGGTGCCATTGTTTAGGCACGGATGATTCGAACATTCGCTATATCTTTGCTCGCAATTTACACCTTAATTGACATTTAAAATATATTATTTATATTCTTATTAATTTTCTTTTATATTTTATAGACAAATAAATGAAGAAAGAGACGTACCTACAAAACCATCGACGCAAGTGCAATTATATGCAGCGACGCCGTCGTTGCACGTGCCACCATTCAAACAAGGATCCGACCAGCATTCGTCCCAATTAATTTCGCAATTAATCCCCGTATAACCGTCGATGCAATAACAAGAATAGGTGCTACGTCGTCCATGAAAATTTACAAACCAGAAATAAGACACTAATACTTTTATCGCTATATTTTATCGCATTTGTATTTCTTAATTACTTATATAATGATATTAAATAAGAGTTAAATCTTTATACGCTTTTATTTTGTATTTTTCTTTAAAATCTTAATAGAAAATATTTAAGTTAAGAAAATTTGAAACTACACAAATTTCTTACAAATATTAATTACAAAATTTTAATCTAAATTAGCTTATTGTCTATTATATTTATTGTCTATTTATTTTCTATTATATTTTTCGTCTAAGGTATTTCTAGAATATATTACAAAGAAATCATACATATATGAGTATATATAATTTTCTTCGCTTATATCCGTTGTATCTGTATATGATCAAACTATATAAATTATATATGCAACTCTTATGAAATTATATATCAATATGCGTGCTTAACAAGCGCAAGTGTGTATGTACCTGTTCTCGTTGTCCAAACAGATTCCATACATGCAAGGGTCCTCGCTACAATTCGATTCTAATGCAAACACTGTTATCGTAGTCGACAGTACTATCAGAATAAGAATACTTTGACACGTGGTGGTCCTCGCGGATGGCAGGCAATAACTCCACTTATAAGCCAATCTAAGTAGCCTTACATACCTTTACAGTATATGATTACAGCATGATATATACATATGTCGATTAGTTTGTCATGTGTAGGTGTGATATGTATGCACGTGCGCATATGTAGATATCGTGTGTATTTTGTGTATATACATATTGTACAACGCGCACACGATTGAAAAATTTACATAAAGTAACTAACAGGATATATATAGCAATCTATTCGCGTCTCATATTAAATAATACAATAATCTTACAGACTCAACATATAATTTCATGACATTTCAAGAATCAATCATATTTAATGGACAATATTTATAGTTTCATTAAATTCATTAGTCAGAAGAAGAAAATCTGTACGCAATATATGTGATTAATAAGAAGAATAATAAAGAGAATATTTAAAAATCACAATATAAAAAAATTAAAAATTACAATATAAATCAAATATAAATATATTTAAAATTCTTTATGGGTGTATATGTTTAAAAAGAAAATATATATAAATATATAAATTTGAATGAAAGAATTAGATTAAAGATTAGTGTAATTTTCGACGGTACAAAATAGACTTAATTAAACCGGAGCAATAATATATAGCTTCGAGTCACGTCACTGTGCCAAATAACGCTTATATCCGTGACCTTTCTTGCGAATTTTTCGGCATTACGTTATCAGGTGTAAAACGCTATAAAGAGAGTCAATTACACAATTGATCGATAGGGGATATTGTACAGGTAATTCCTGAAAGGATTTTAAAAAAGGACGAAAAAGGACTCGTCGAACCGAGAAAATCGGGGGTCGCTCTTTTTTCATTACCTTCCCATTCTTGTTCAAGAAAAAAAAGGGAGGACGCGTCGTCGAACACGGCACTTTCGACGATCTGTACACAGTACGGTATGCCTCATATATCGCTTTAGCTTGGCATAGATCGTGTATATACGCTGTAGGCACGTTGTTCTTGACGATGCCGCTCACGATATCCTGTCGACGACGACTCGACCGTAGTCTTAGCAACACGCAACCATACAAATAGTCGTTACGTGCCGGATACGCTTGCGTGAAACAGAGTTGTCGATATTAATAAGAAAAAGTACTTCCTAACTTTGCTATTAAATACAAGTCAATATACTGAAATACATGATGTATTTCTCAGATCGCACGTTAGTTTGAAGATCGTAGAACGCAGCTCTTGTAAAGAAGAGTTTAAAACCTGATAACTTCCTTAATTGATGTTACTATTCTTTTTCAGCAGCAAATTTCTTTTTTCTTATTGCAAATGCTTGCGGAATGTATTTCTTATATTGGATGGAATCAATTTATGACGAGCACGTTCAATCAGGCGAATAAAGAAAGTAATAGATCAATAATATCGAGTTCTTATAGCAAACTTAAATCGATACACGAGCGAAACGTTCTTAGTCTAACTGAATATAATGATTTGTTTAATGAAGAAGAGTTTAACTAGACATATGTATTTAATTAATAATATAATTAAAAATACGCAACTTATTGTTTCATGATTCATCAGAGAATTCGCGTTTTCTTCTGTCATCAATGTTATATATTTGATTTACAATCTATTGGAATTTCGCGAAATGTGTAAACAATAAACAGGTAGGTCAGTTAGCTACTTTTCGATGACGACGTGCTGCCAAATCATAATTCTATTTTAAGCTGAGATTTATAATAAGAAGCGCGCGTTGAGCGGACGCTCGTAGAGCAGTGTCATTCGCGTGTCTTTAATCACGAGCGTATTTTACGGTCCTTCGACTCTGCGATATAATCTCGATGCTAATTAATTCATTTATTTTACAAGATTCACGACTGTTACGACACTCTCTTCTGGCATCGCGACTTATAATCTCAACATCTGACAAATGACGTGTATATAAATATACCCGCGTTATAAAATAACTCTGCCTCTCCAAGAACTTTGCCATCAAACTCAGTTTTTTCCTCAGTCTTTCCAAGAGTTTGTTAAACTCTTGGAAATCACACAATTATATAAAAACTCTAGCACTATATACCGATTATAAATCGATTTCACTGCAAATTACAGTCTGAGTAGAGAACCTCTGCTTGAAACAATGTAAGATTTATTGATATTTGTGCCGTGGAGAAAATTTTGCAGAGAAACGAAAACAACAACATCTCTGAAGTCATTACAAAATTGGCTCGGTGCCTATACAAAAGGCGTTTTAAATGTGCGGTATAAAAGAAGATGATTGAAGCATGGAAAGGCAAAGTACCGAGGAAAAATTAAACATAAGTGCGCGAGAGATGGATCCACTTGAGATGATGGGATTGCTCGTGTCGCATCTGCGAGAGAACAATCTTGATAAACCCCGGTCATGGACCATCAAGCGTTCTCTCATGAAAGGTCGCGGAATGTTCGCCATACGAGACATTCGAGTCGGCGAATCGATCTTCACGGATGTCCCGTTGTTGATGGGGCCGCGATGTTACAGCAAGTGCCTGCCGATGTGTGTCGTCTGTTACAAGAACAATTGTCCCCTGTTCCCCTGCGATCATGATTGCGGTTTGCCGATCTGTTCGACGGAATGCGAGAACTCGATGTCGCACTCTCAGGAGTGTCGCACTCTCAGAGAGTGGATGCCGACCTGCGGTTCCACCTGGTCCAAGGATCTCCTGCTTGCGGTGGTACCGATACGCGGTCTCGCGTTGTCGAAGGAGCAGCGAGAACTCTTGTACGCCTTCGAATGCCATTCGAATCTTACCCATAATCACGAGGTATTAATTCAATTTATTTTTCTTTTGCACATATTCCCTAAGTTTTTATTTCTATAGCAAACATAGAAATACACACGCAAGATTATCTAAATGGTATAATTAATATGATTCATATTTTGTTTTTCTTCACTTTTTATATAATTTCCATAAAAATTCATTTTTATATGGACTCTTTCGTAGATTTATATATAGTGTCTATCATTTCTATCATCCTTAATATTTTTCCCCTAGAAGAACGAGAAAAAATATGCGATATAATAATATATATTAAATAAAAATATTATCTTGTCTATATAAAATATCATAAACTTCAAGATCGATCTGCTGAAAAGAAGCGTCAACAACCTTCCCAGCGAGGAACAAATGGAGTTTATGAGGCGCATCTGCGAGGTCTTCAACACGAATTCCTTCGAAGTCGTGATCGCGAGAAACGAAGACTGCACCACGAGTCTACGCGGTCTTTATCCCTTAGGTGCGTTGCAAAATCATTGCTGCGTGCCGAACACCAGACACCATTTCGATGATCAGCAACGACTCCACGTGAGCGCCGCGCTGCCGATCGCCGCTGGCGAAGAGCTCACCATGTCCTACACCGACCTACTGTGGGATACGTCGAGCAGGAGGCAGTTCCTGAGAGTCACCAAACACTTCTCCTGCGACTGCAGTAGATGCTGCGATCCCTCGGTACGTGGATGAAAAAAAAGTCGTAACGAACTTACGCGAGACGTTTTTTCTCTTCCTCCAGGAATTCGGGTCCCAACTCGGGGCGCTTCTCTGCGCAAAGGATGATTGTCCGGGTCATTTGCTACCACGCAATCCTCTCAGTCTTGAATCTCCCTGGATCTGCGACAAGTGCCAGATCAGCGTGAATCGCAGACAGGTGATATCTAGAAGTTGAAATAATGCTTTAATAATTATTCTACACTTTTTGACTACTCTTTCTGAATATAAATATCTTCTCTACAATTATTAATTTTGAGAAGTTATTTATTTGCGTATTAATATAATATGTTTGCATATTTATTACAGTATTTATATAATTACCTAATTGATTAAAAAGTCATCTTCATAGTCTGTCTGGATTTTCTATCGTAGTATATTCCATTAATATGACATTAATCAATTTACAGATTGAATGCATTCATTCGGTATTGAATACGCTTGTTTTTGACGCAATGTATAAGACTCCGCGAAAGATTCTCAAATTTATAGAAACGATATTATCGAAATTGATTCCTGCCACTAATTACATTATGTTAGATGCCAAGTATCGTATAATCTCTTACTTTGGCAGAGTGCCGGATCTTAAATGGAAAGGTAAGATACATATATATAGTATATGTGTGTGTGTGATATTTTCTACCTTAAAAAAACAAAACGTAATTTGTGTTATTGCAGATCTTACGGATAAAGAACTTAGAATCAAGAAAATGTATTGTAACGACATACTTTCTACTTTGGATATTTTGGATTCTGGAGATTCTATTAAAAGAGGTAACATAATCACTCTTTCCTCTTGTATATACATATATTAAGATTTTTATCAACTTTTTCCTCTTATTTTCGTCAAAAATAAACACAGAATAAAAACAGTTGAATTGGAAATTATATCTTCTACATAAGCTCTAGTAATTATTTTGATATTAAATATTTGCACTAATTAATATCAAAATAAAATGTGAATTTCAAGAAATCTTAGCGTATATTTTATATTAGAATTTTTCTCCAACTTATATGATTTTATAATTTTAAGAAATTGAAAATATAATTTTTTTATAAATCTAAATCACTAGAAAGGCGTAAAGAGCTATACGCGGTTGTTACTGCGCACATTTCCAACAAAACAAAGTTTTCGTTGGAAAATAAACCGTGCATAAGGCACGTGTTATTCTCAGTATACTACCAAGATTTTTAAAGTTTGAAATAATCTCATACTTGAGATTTAATTTCAAAAACCCCTTAACCCCCCTATGGAAATAAATAAATAATTTTTTTAAATCTTCTTGTAATATATTTTCTAGGCCTTGTTTTATACGAACTGTATCGTACGAATCTTGAATTGTCTAAGCGCCAGATTTCGGAAGAACAAACATATCCGTGCATAAAGGTATTCGAAGAATAATAAATAGTAAAGAAATATAATTACGTTAATTATACATGTCTGAATTATTGGCTTAAATCATTTTTTTATATAGGATAACGAGGATAATAAATGCCTCTTACGGCAGGCAATGGATATATTGCAAAACGATGTCGGCGCAGCCTCTATTCGTAAAAGTGATTAACGCGAAAAGACACCGATTCTAAAGTTGTATTTATTGAATTATTCGATGTCTGGGATGGATATACATATGTGTATGAGCATTGAAATAAATAATGCATCATATACTGCTATGTATATTACGACTTTTATAATCTAATCGTCTGGTTTCGTATTTTTTTCACGCGACATTCAGCTTATGATACAAGAAAGATTTGGAAATATATATAAATATAGTTATTACGATAAAAAAGTGTAAGCGATTATTATATTCTGGTTAAAAGTACGTATTTGATAGAGATTAAATTTAAAACATTACGTTTCAAATATGCGAATATTCACTTGATTTTTATGAAAGATGCAAAATGCTCAGACAAAAATTATGTTCAATCGATAATTAAGTCATAATTTCATGTCAATTAGAAGTTATGATACGACCTGTTATAGCGTGAAATAGATTCTCACAGACACAAACATACACACACAACATACACACACGGCAGTGTACATATATATCTTGTACAATCAATATAAAACAGAATTAATAGTTATTCACAATTTTATACGTAAATTTTATCACTTTTTCATACTACTTGCTGTAATAAGCATTTTGCTTCCTCATACAAAGCAGCACTTGGCTTTAGTGTTTCCAAATCGTAATTCACATCTTCGTCATAACTCGCATTGTTATTTCTGCAATTAAATTTCATTACATTATAACACAAGAGTTTACAAAAAAATATATTGACAAACAATATTCTATAAATCTTAATTTAAAAATGTACAAAAAATTTCACTATTTGTGTTCTTAATTAACGTAATTTAATACGACTTGATACTCACCTGTATAAAGAATCATCTACAGCGGACATCGCACCATTATCCAGATCCTGCAGTAACCGATTTCGCGCAAGCGCAGTGTGCATCAACGCGATATCAGCAAGCAAGAATTCTTTACGATTCATAAAAATAAGATTTGAAAAATATTATTTCATAAACTTTCTGACTTTAGTTACACTGAGAAATACTCACCATTCTCGTATTTTTTTCGTAAGTATTTTATGAAATCTTCGCTCGCATACTTCTTAGATATACCGATTCTGTAGAATATAGCTTTGCACTGCCATCGATTTTCCGTAGAATCTTGATTCGACGAGACAATCCTTTTCGCTTGCGTTTCTTTCACGAGAGATTCCCAATCGACACCTAAAGCATCGCCCAGTCCTTTGCCGCTCGTTTTGATGTCCTCTTCTAACTCACCATCAGAAATTTCTTCAAAGTCCATAGTTTCCATATTTTCGTCTTCCATGTTTCTATTAACATAAAAATGTTATATTATACATATAAAATTTATTACATTATATAAAATTATATTATTATATTATATATTAAATAAAATTTTAAATAATTGTTATAAAAAGTTTCATTCTGATTATATTTTATAATCATCCATATCTTACTTCAGTGACACTGTATCAGTGTTATCTTTAGATTTTGAACTGAAAATTGTTTCCTCTACAGGTTCTTTCGGAGATAACTGAGCCGGCTCCTGTGCGGTTGATTGTGCGTCGCGGTGTGCAACATCCGATACTTTCTTGTTTGTCCGCGTTTTATTATTTTCCATATCCTGAAAAATTACATAAACTCGTAAGTCTTATCTTGTTGCATATATATATATATATATATATATATATATATATATATATATATACAACGCATATACCGTAGTATCTTCCTCCATATTCAGTATATCATCAGGATCGTCGCTAATATCACTCAAATCGCTCTCAGTGTGAAGAGTTTGCAATGAATCCTCGACTATGGGACGTTTTGGTTCTATAACAACGGGTTCCTTGATTTCTGGCTTATCCTTCTGTGAATTTTTCTTTTGGAAACTGTCCGTGGATTTTTCTCTCGTAGTAGTTGTAGACAATTTGCCTTCAGCAAGTTCCATCAGTTTTTGTTGATAGGTTCTTCTTTCATACTGCCATAAATAGCGGCCTGTTTAGCAGAAGGATGAATTGTCGGCTCTTCTCTCGCTTCCGGTGCATTATATGATCGTCTTTTGCTAAAAAAAATTGATTAATAGAGAATATATATATATATATATATATATATATATATATATATATATATATATATTACATTTTATACTTTAATCTTCTCTTATATACGAGAGACTACGTTATATCAAATTTTGGTATCTACTCAAATTTTATTCAAAAAATTCCCTGAGATTTCCCTGATTTTTTAAATTCCAAGTAAATTAAAAAAATTTGTAAATGCAGATTTTTTAAATAAGTTTCTTTTTAACATTTTTCTATACATACGAATGCAAAGTTATCAAGATTGCAGGTTTCCTAGCATTTAATATTGATTTATTTAATTATAAAATTAATTTGGACAATAATGAAGCTATATCACCATATCTAAACGCTAAAATATATGTACAAATATAAAACAAAAATAATTTATTATAAACTCCTTTAAGAAATACTAGTTTACTTAATTAATTTATTAAATAAATAAGAACTAATTTATTTAATTTATTAAATAAATAAGAAGTACCAATTTATTTAAATATTACCTATTAAAAATTAAACAATTTTCTATAAACTTATATAAGATCTTATATTGTTAATAAAAAAAATCACATAAAATTTTAAGAAAAACTTAAATATTGCAAAGATGTGTTAGACATATGTTTCTCAAATGTTAAATAAGAATAAGATTATGAAATATTTTAAAAATTTCTTGAGTGCCAATTAAATTCCATGAGAATTCTCTTATTTTTAAGGTAGAACAAAATTTCCTGAGAATACCAAGTTTTCAAGGTTCTTCTCAGGAGTATACACCCCGTCTATGCTTACTTATGTTGCGTAGATTCTCCGAGTTCCAAGTCCTTCGAACGTTCGTTTCTGTAATGCGATCGAACATGCACGTTCTGATTATCCCACTTCCGCGCATCGTTGGACTTCCAGTCAGCCATTGAATTGTCGTATCGGGAAGTGTTCCACTCGTCGTCGTGTATCTCTGAACGAGGAAGACTGTCCCTGCCTTCCCATAACGTTCTCGTGCGCCATTCTCTCTCCTCCCATTCCGCGGTCGGATAACTTCGATCTCGGCCGTGCTCCACGTCGCGATGATGTCCTTCCCAATCGTCGTTTGGAACAGTCTCATCCCTAATTGATAAAGATAGAGAGAAACAGAATGAGTAATATATACTTGACTATACACTATTTTTTTAAGTTTTTATATATATATATATATATATATATATATATAAATTTTAAAAAATGAACGATGAAAAGATAAAAGTGCAATAATTATTACCTAATTCCAGCTCCACTACTTCTCAGTTTATCGCCAGTATAAAGAGGATGCCGATGATGGTGATGATGATGACGGTGATCATCAAAGGACGTTCGCTCTGCAGTCTGGATCATGTACCTCGACTCTTTGGTTCTGTCCTCGCGAGCGACGCGTCTCTCCTCAAAAGGACTGTCATACCGTCTACCCTCAATGGTTTTCCTCCTATCGTCATCGTGAATATGAGTGTGATCGCGATATTCCACGTGAAGAGTCGACTCTTCCTGCTCGTCCCAATGCTCCGGCATTCTACCGTAATTCCTACCGAAATTCCTGTCCACTTCCACGGCGCGTCTCGGACTAGTCATGTCCCGACGATCCACTATCCGATCGATCTTGCTCGGAAGACGATTAGGTTCGATTCGCGCCTGATCCTTCCTGCTGTTGTGTTCCGATGCGTGTCCCCGCTCGTATCTCATGCCGAATCTTCTGCCGTGCCTATCCCTATCGTAGTGACTATCCATGTCCATCAGATGATCACGAGACGACGGCGGAGCGGATGTCGCGATCGCCGAGGATGCGGTCGTAGGCACCAGCGGTAGCGGCGCCGTCGACTGAATGCTCGATGATGTTACAGAATGCCCGCCTTTGTCGTGCAAGGCCGCACGGTCCAAGGACGCCTCTCGGAACCGGTCCATGCGATCCCGCGGTGAATTTACACTCACCTTACCGCGACCTAAGGATGATGCGTCCTTCTCAATGGCGCCACCTCTGTCATACCTCGCATCTAGACGCGACTGCGTCGAATTCCGGTCCCTCTCGGCGAGTGCCTTCGTCTCTGGTCTCTCCCGATCGCGTTCGCTTCTACTTCGCTCGCGAACTCCGCTGCTCTTCTCGAACGACACGTCCTTGCTCAAGGGTCGTTCCTTGAGCCTGCTGCTGCTGCTGTAACGCGAGCTCTTGTCCGCGGGAAGATTCAACGTCGTGGAGGAAACCACTGCGGATACGTCCCTCTCTCGCGACTTCATAGTCTTCTCTCTCTCTCTGTCTCGATCGCGATCTCCGCGCTCGCGGGTCTCTCGATCTCTCTCTCGTTCGCGATCGCGCTCGCGCTCTCGTTCTCGATCGCGATCCCTGTCCCTGTCGCGCTCACGTTCCCTCTCGCGATCCCGATCGCGATCTCGCTCTCGCTGCCTCTCACTGCGACAACGTTCCTGAGATTCATCCTTATCCTTGTCGCGCGGAGGTTCCTGGCGTTGATCGCGAGCCAACCTGGAGTGACGCTCCTCTCTCAGGTCTTTCTCGCGCTGACGCTCGCGACTCTTCTGTCGCGTCTTGTCACCACCGTAGGTCTTCTCGTCGAAATTGTCCTTGCTCGCGTTATTCCTGCGATAGTTCTCGTCCTGACTCGTCTGCTTCGGTTTATTACTCGAGGTCTGCTCGCTCTTTTTCGCGTCCTCTCGCTCTTTGCTCTTGTCTCTCTTGTGCGAGTCGCGCTCCTTCTTCTCCGCGTCTCTCGCACGACTCGACGAGCCGCCTTGTTTCTCCGGATTTTTCACCGGGCTGAGATCGCGCCTCGCTCTTGACGGTGTCTTATCAGGTGTTCGGCTGCGTCGCGTCTTTGAGGACGCGTTTTCCTTCATATGTTGATGCTTGGTCGATCGATCTGACGATAGAGGAGGCGGTGGTGTACGCGAACGCACGTCCTTATCCTTGCACTTCGATCTCAACCGGTCATCCGACTTGATCTTTTCATCAGTCGCGCGACTCTTCTCCTTATCCTGTGGTTCCTTGATCTTATCAAACGACTTGCACTTTGACGTATCCTTAGACAGACATTCCTCTACGTCACGTACTTTCTTGTAATTCCTGCCGTCTTCCTTGTCAATCTCCCTGTTACTCTTCATCGCTTTCGGCGATTCGCTTCTGTTTCTTTCTCGTATTTTGCCAGACGATGACGCGTGATGCGCCACAGAAACCGACGAGCCCAATACTACGGCTGATGTAGATGTAATTCCACTCGTAGATCCTTGTTGTATTGCAGGTGACCTAGCGCGTAATAAGTTAGAATGTTTTCTAGATGCAGGTAATGGAGCATGCTTCTTGACAGATCTCGTGGTAAGATCTTTCTTCGTGGAGTTGCTCTCGAGTTTGCGTTTCTTCTTGCTGACGGCTTTGTCGTTTTTCGCTCCCAATCTCTTAAGCTTCAATCTGTAAAGTTCATAAAAACAAATTTGATTAATAGATAAAAAACAAATTTGATTAATAAAGTAACATATTTTTCTATAACTAATGTTGAAATATAATATAATAGCTTATTAACTTTAAATGATATTATATATTAAGTATTAAGAATATTACATGTATTAAATATTACATATATACTTACTTTCTTTTTTTCTCTTTATCTTCGTCGTAATCAGTAGAAGCGCTGTGATGTCTCTTTGTTTTGATCTTCTTGACTTTCTTTCTTGAATCTGACGTTGAAGTGGAAGATGAGTCTTCGCTGCTGGAGCTGCTACTACTGCTAGATGTACTGGAAGTGCGTGAACTAGAAGAGGAGCTCATAGCCTTTTTTTTCTGTCTTACTTTATCCTTGCCATGTACTTCTTTATCTTTCTTCATTTGTAATTCCAGTTCTCGTTGTAACAATTGCCGCCGTCTCTCCAATACCTTCTCGTCCTCGTACTCGAGATCCGTTTGATTCCACTCTTCTATATTCAAGTCTGGACTATGCGATGCTTTTTTCACGATTTTTGACGTAAGCCGTTTGAAAGGATCGTCAATGTGCTATAATATTGAAAAAATTAAAATTAAAAACTCTTTGCTTTCTCAACTAGTCTGTTATTTATTTCAACTTTGATTAATGTTTAAATGCTGTGTATCACATAAATATTATATAATATTATTATAAACAAAAATGTGATGTGCTTACCCCAGATGTGCTTGCGATCGCATTATCCTTCTTAGCACGTTTGGATGGGCTTATCAATGTATGTGTATTTGCGTATCTGATTAAATAAGAGAAACAGAAAATTTATTTATAAAATACATCTGATTCAGTCTCATATTGTTGATATAAAAAGAACAAATCAGTTTGATTATTAAGCCCTAAATACATTTGTTTAGAATATTTAAGTAAATTTAAATAATTAATTTTTTTACTTTTAACTTTTCCTCTAAGAATAAGTTGTAATTAGTCATATATTGTAAAAATTTCTCTTCATTCTCCATTATTAGTCTACCTTATTATTCTAATTCGAGCACTCTTTTGTATATAAAAGTAAAATCCAAAATAATTGATTAGTCGCGAAGACTAATGTATACAGGATGTCTGCCATAAAGTATCACATACAAAATATACAAGTAGATCTCGTTATTTGGAGACAATTTTTCCTCAGCAAAAATGTCAAGGTAGGCCATCATTTTTTTGGATGTTCCCAATTTTTGCCATCATGTATCTTTATAACTAAACCTTAAATTAAAATTTTATTGAAGTAAACTCTACTTGAAATTAATTGAAGAATATGATTTTGTTAATATTTCATTTCCACAAGGCTTAGTTTGCGAAAAACCCTTCATTTTCAATCGCTTATAACTCGGAAAATGATTGATGCCTCAATATTTTTGCTAAGGAAAATAACAAGATCTACTTGCATATTTTCGGCGTGACACCTCATGTCAGACACCCTGTATATACACGGATATTTTTCATTTTTATTTTGAAATAGTCTCCACTCACTTGCAATTCTTGCCGTAGGAACAATTGCCGTTAAGGGCCCAATTTCTGCAATAATCCGATGTATTTTGAGCGGCGGTGGCAGCGATCGCTGGTTTGGTGCCCAACCTCTCAAACACACTCGGCCGTCGTGAAGAGTCTGTATTACATTTCGTAGGGTCAGCCGTTATCTTCCTTATGTTTGGTTTTGACATATTATCACCATAAAGCACTTGTATTTTCACAATGGAAGCACATAACTGCGAGCATGCAGGTGTTCACGTGCCGTACGGAATCGTCATACGATGCGATGATCTCGACGCGAAATAGGTGCAAAAGTAAACCATCTCTGTCTGTCGGCCGCTGTCAGGTGTGCCAATAGAATCATATGATCGCGGTCACGAAAAACTCTGCAGTCTTAGAAGATGTCCTAATTTATCGACAGAAGGTCGATAATGTAGTTTCTGCAATGCATTTTTATAAATGCATTTTTAAATGCATTTTTTATCAATGCGTTTTTTATAAATGCATTTTTAAATGCATTTTTTATCAATGCGTTTTTTATAAATGCATTTTTTTCTATTAAAAATAGTGTATAATAATATAAATTTTATATTATACGTGTATTTGTCTGTCAGTATAGAAATAAAAAATATTTTAATTTTAAGACCAAGTACGATTTACAACAACCATATGTACTAAAATAGCTTCAAATTAATTTCATCTTTTTTTATTTAATTATATTTGTCATAAATAATTAATGCATTAAATTAATTAATTATTGATTATTATAAATTAATTAATTTAGGATCAATTATTTAATTATTTTAATTTTATATGCGTGTTTTATCAATATTTCAATATTATTTTCATGAAATAAAAAAATCATAGTATTAATAATATTACTTTAATTATAGATAATATAATTACGATAATTAGATTGTATAATTATTATAGTATTAAAAAACGTTTTATTTTAATTCATTTTGTGTTTTATAAATTGTTTCAATTTAAGTATTAGTATTAAATAAAACTTACGCATCCTCAATAGAAAATATGCGGAAATCGAATGATTTAACGAAAAAGCCACATTAGATCTAATTGAATAAACATGACTGATCGGATGACAGAGAGATGACTAATGATGGATATACATATGAACAGTGTCATATCATCTTATTTTTATAGAAGCTCGCGAAAAAAGGCTTGACTCAGGATTTATCTTAATCTTTTTTACATATGTTAATGAATTATTATTAACTGAAAAGTTCGTTTTTGCTGTCCACATGGTTTTTTTATTAGAATAAAAATGACAATTCAACTTTGCCTTTACATTCTGATGAAATTTATCGTCGGATCGTTTGCCATAGTAACTCGATTAACATGATTAATGCCGGAATACGTTTACACGCCAAATGCAATTTTACATCTCACATATTCAACGACCCTTAATAACAAAAAAAAGTAACGCGTCTATTCTTTCAGTAACGATTCATTGATGCGATCGCAATCAAAGCATCGAGTGCATAAACGCAAACATACGCAAGTACATCATTATCATAAAAAAAAATCGTTGACATAACAAAATGACATTTCGTACGAGAACGTATATTGCACACCCTGAAAAAAAATTTTTATTACACGCAATTCTTGCACACTTTTTGTGACTACGATGATATCGGAATGACGTTTCGTGCTACATTGGTTTTACACTAAATAACTCTTGCCGACATTAAACATACAGCAAATAAAACTCTTACGGTAACTCGCATAACAATAAATTAGACTGCATAACGATTTGATAAGGATTATACAACATCTGTATTTATATCTGTATATATAATCATATGACTATATTCACACTTTTTCATAAACACTATAATTTGCGCAACTTTACATACAAAAATTGATTAAAAAAATATTAGTACGAATATAATATGGATTAACAGCGTATATTTAAAATATATGTATGTATATTAGTAATTAGCAAAATAGAATTGTAATTTTAATCGCGGCGTACAATCGTTATAACATTGAGAACAAAGGGGATGTATATTACATCAGCACTACATCCATCCTCTCTTCTAAAATTCTAAAGCAACAATATATCGTTACGCCACGATTACTATCTTTCAATAAATCGTTATTTCATCTTAAACCCATATATACAATATATATACATATTTGATTGAATATGTATATATTATATATATATATGTATGTATGTATGTAAATATATATGTATATGTATATACGCACACGCACGCACACACACACACATACATACATGTAGGTATAGCGTTTCGTTCTGAGGTAGATCGAGTCAGCAAACAGCAAACAACTATATAATTCAAAGCTCGTTCCTAAGTGCAACTTATATATGCACATTCTAGATCTGTTACTATTACGTTTAAAACTACATCATTGTCAGAATATTAAAAAAAAAATCATCAATGTCAATTTTTATCTTATTGTTGCATTATACACAACCACAATAATTTCGAAACCTTGATCGTTAATAATTGCTCAACAATTGACTATATCAGAGTGCGAAGAGAATCATCGGAACTGTATTCCGAATTCGGCAACAACTTAGCAATTAATACGATTAAATTTAACATATGTAAATTATAAGATTTAATTTATATATATATATATATATATATATATATATATGTATATAATTATTAATCTTATTTATTTTCGTAATTGTTCGTAAGTGGGGCAAAACACTTTGCTGATGCATTTATATTATAAGTTAAGAATTAAAATTAAAGCCACAATATTTGCAACATTCAACGATAATGGACATTGATGATATCTAATGGTCTATCATAATTCTTAAGTGACATTCGGCACTTTTTACTTTGCACTTTTATCAGGATATATAATTGTATTATATTTTCTCAAGGCAAAAGATATATAATATAATTGTAAAAAAAATCAATTTTTTGTTCTTATATAAAAAAAATAAAAAATAAAAAAAAACGATATTGAAGCTACAGCACGTGATGCATGAGAAATAGTATGTACAGTTTGACAATATATATGTGCAAAAATATAGTTTTATAAAAAAAATTAATGATTTATAGATTTTTAGAAGTTAAATCAATATATCAAGGTTTCGTTTCTCAATCACATTGATAAATATTTTCTGAAACAATGCTTATATATATATATGGAATCTGTTAATTAATGCATCAACTATAAATCTGTTTTCTGAAATAGCAATGAAGTTTAGATAGAAAGCATTATTCTATATATATATATGTAGCATATTCTAATTTTTCTAATATTATATACATATGTAGACACAAGATTTATAGGAAAACAATTTTCTATAATATTAAAAATTATCGATGCCACCATCAGTTATACCAGCTCTAATATTATCCAATACCTTGTTTACAAATTCTGTCGAATGATTTGCTATTCGCATTTCTGTAACATAGTAAATTCACATTAGAATAATATGATCATTTATGTTTATTATATATGTTAAAAAAATTATATTAAGCTATTACTCACTGGTAGCCAGTTTGCAACATTTCTCCATTTGTCGGGTAAGCTCTTCTTGATTTTCAGGATTGGATTCAGCTAATTTAGCAGCAAGTGTATGTTTAGCTTGCGATATACCTTGTATAAGACGTCCTGTAAAAAAATTATTTTAGTTTTTTAATCTGTTATACTTTTGACATCTCATTAAGAAAAAGATTTTTCTATTTCGACGTTTACTCAACTGTGTTCTACTTCGAGTCCATGCAACTTTATCTTATTAGCTTCATGTTGAGCCTTTTTCTTCAAGCGACATGCTCGCGAAGCTAATTTATTCTTTTCTTTGCGAGTCTTTGGTCTTGCTGGGAAAGGTAATTCCGAAACAGGTGTCATATCATTTATAATACGATTGAGTTTGTCTAATTCTCGTCCAATATTATGAAGTTTACGAGGATTCGGCGTAAGATCATTTCCATCGCCTTTTCGTGCTTTTCCGCTATGTTTGATTCCTCTGAGAGCGCAATGAGGACTAAATACTGGATCGGTTGCTTCGTTCAAAACATGCGGGTCTTCTAAGCGTGCTCGAGCGATCAATCGCTGTCCTTTTGGTCCCTTCGCTTGAACATTATATTGCCAGAAAAATCTCTCTTTCTTATGTCTGTGTTCTTTCCCCAATTCTGTAGTTCCTATTCTGTTGTTACTCTGATCTTCACCTTCCACTTCCACCTGTATCTAGTAAATAAAGTATCTAGTAAATAGCAGTTTAGTTATATTTCATAATATTACTTAATTTATAATTAATTTAAGATTTTATTTAATTCTATAAAAATATAAAATAAAATAAAAAAATAAAAATATAAAATAGATTAACTTTTGTAAGAGATTGTAAAATAATTCCAGTATAATAAATTATATTTAATATTAATGATACTATCTTATATTTTGTATATTATTATTAAGTATAATATAATATGTAAATACCATTATCACTGCTGTAGTCATCATCATGATCGCTATCTTCATCACTGTCTTCATAGCCTTCATCATGGCTAAGAGGATCGACACAGAGTGGATCTGGACTCAATGCACCTCCAGTACTCAGACTACTTGTCGATCCTGCCTCTACCAAACTACCAGTACTTAACAGATGTTGACGTGGTTCTCTATGAGCCCAAATCTGGTCCAGATGTCCCATTGCCTGCGTTGGTGCAGACATAGAGAGTCTCGAAACTTTAGATTTACCACCTAATGTAGAGGTATTATCCGTTTGACTGGATACTGGATTAAGAGGATTTTCACCTCTTCTCAAAAGTAGTTCATGTAAAGTAGATGATCCAAGTCGTCCTGGAGGATGTGGTGAAGTTGATGAACTCGCTGTGGAACTACCTGTATGAATTACAATAACATTTTCATTTTTATTAATCAATTACAAATGTTTTATATTATAAAAAATCTGATTATTTTTACATATTTAAATTATTAAATGTTTTATTTATAATATGCTTTTATATCTAAAATATATATTTGTGCATACCTGCAATGTTGCTAGTGCCTGGACTAGGAAATGTAGTAGGACTCACAGCTTCTGCATTATCTGTGACAATTGAATTTCTATTAAAAGTAAATGTATTTGTATATGTAGGACAGCTTCGATAAGTTAATCCGGATTGAGGAAAACTACTAGGTGCGAATCCTATTCCACTGCTGAATAAAGAGCCGGACGATGGAGCTGCACTCTCTATTTTCATCGGCTGTACCCTCTCTTCGGGCAACAACAGATCATCGAAATTTAGATCTCCCAATAGGGTATCATCGTTGGCGTTTAACTCGGCGAGAGTCGGGCCCTGGATCAGAGCAGCCTTGTCTACTTGGAATATATCATCCTCGTCCATCTTAAGCGAAATGTCCAACTGATCCGGATCCATTTTGAAGGGACATTCCATCTGTTCGCTCCTCATATCCCATCCAGAGGAGAGAGCCAAGGGTGACGGAGAGAACTGATCGTACGCTCCTCGCGTGGTCCCTCTGTGTCCTCCTGGTATCGGGACAGATGCTGACGCCGAGTTCATCTCCTGGCAGGTTCCTGCTTCACTATGCTGTCCATTGTGTTGGCTAGAGAAAATTCGCTGTACTTAGAATCGTCCATTAGCGACACGTGCTTCAACCAGAAACGTGGAGAGCTGAAAAGCTTCTTGTATCCTCTAAAACTCTGCAAGGTGGTTGTATAAAAAAAAAATTCGCTCTAAATAAGAGAAAACATCAATCCAAGGCTCTCGATCGATCCTACTTCTAACGTTGATACGAGTCGAGAGAAAAAATGCACGTGCACGCGACTGTAACAATTGTCCTTAAAATTCCTTAGCAAGTAGGATTTAGCAGCAAAAAATGGCGAATAGAATAGGAAAATGCACGCGGCCCACTTGGATTTTGACTCGTCCGTGACTCGATCGATTTTGCAACCCAGCGATGCACGAGGGAACAATTGGAGAACAATTCTCTCGCTCTTTCTCTCTCTCTCTCTCTCTCTCTCTCTCCTCTCTCTCTTCTTCCTTCTCTATTCTTTCTCGCTCGCTCGCGCCTTTTTTTGCCGAAATTCGACCGAGCTGATCTGAAAAATCGGGAAAATAGCAACACTCACGTCGAAATCACATATTGGTCCACGCGCGTTCGTAGCACACACGCATCACGGATTCTCGTCAGCGGGCCATTTCCGCGGCCGACAACATCGCGACGAGTAGCCCAGATTGGATTTCACTTTTTCCCCAACGAGGTCCGCGTGGATCCTGACTCCGGGACCGATCGCGCTGTTCCAGGCGTGGAACCCCCGGATGACGAAATCGAGATCGCGCAAACGGGTTCGTGAAATTGGCGAGAAACGCGAGAAGCTACGACGTGTGTTGTTTGTTATTGTTTTGCCACGAGACTGCGAGGCCAAGTGATCGGTGATGTTTGCATAAATAGAGGAAAGGGTCACATGACACATCGTCGCGAAATTACGCCGGCCAATCGTGGCCCGTCATTCCGCTGTGCGCGGTCCGCGCGTTTTTTTTTCTTCTCTTTTTCTCTTTGCGCCCGATGTAACTTGGCGAGAATTTTCATTCTAATATTACTGCCTCGTACATACACGCACTTTCGCGCGGGTAAAAGTCGCCGAGGACTCGTCGGATCTCAAGGACGCGATCACCCGATGATCCTCCTCTATGCGTGATTCATGGCGAAATTCCTATCCTCCTTCTCCTCTTCTTCTTCTGCTTCTTGCAAATGAGACTCGAGATTCTAGCGGATTATTTACATTTCCACAACATATGGAGCATCCTCGTGTCTTTTTTGCTTTGCACTTTTTGTCTTTCTATTTTCTGTTTTTTTTTTAATCTATCTAGTACTAGTTTTTATCAAGTTGGCACGACTGTTTTTAGATGGACAAAGTGACGAATAGATCCTCGAACGCGATTGGTCGATCGTACCATGGATTATTCTGTATATAGATTGTCGTGACTGCGAATTATTTATTTATTTCGTTTTTTTAATTATTTTGATAATTCGTGTGAAAAAGACACGAATGCATAATTGCATTAGAAAAAAATAAAATGTACAGATGAGGGGCGAATTTGTGGTGTTTCTTATCCACCAATCACAAATATGTAGCCTTTATTTTGGCCAATAAGAACGAAGAATAAAAAGAAAGAAAAATACAGCCGAGTTTATTTAAAAATAATCGAATAAAATCGCATTCCAAATCGAACAAGAATGAATTTCATCATTTTTATATAACTTCTGTGACTTTCTCGAAATGTATTCTTTTTTACATTTTATTTTCGAACCGCTGTATTTTAAATAAAGGAAATCAAAGTTGAGAGGGAGAGGGATAGACATAGATATAAAAGTGCGGCGCTACTCTGAAAAAGTAGGTCACAGGAGGAAAAAGTGCAGGAAGCGTTGAGCACTTTATTTATCGCATTCTTCACGTTCTTCCAACAGGCGAAGGATTAAGAACACTCGTCACTCTTTGTCCGTAGAAAGTCTATTGAACATCTCAAGTAGAATTAAAAATATTTTATTCTTTCAGGTAAGTTGAATGATAATATACATAAAGATATGTTCGGTATAAGTTATGAGAATTAGCAAAAATCTGAGGAACTAATAAAAAATTTGAAAAATTAATAAAGAATCTGAAAAATGTATACATTTCGATGAACACGTTGATAGAGGAAAAAAGAAAAGAATCCGTTTGTTAGGTATTTATTGGATTTTCTTTATCCAATATTTTTTTTATATTTGCTTTATTTGTAATGCAAAAAGTGCAGTTAAGATAAATTGTTGCTTTTCGTTTTCATTCTATCTCATAGATATAATTTGTATGAATTATGTGCTCTTTTTTTTCCCCATGCATATACTTCTGCGTAACGATGTACCTATCTAAGGTCTATGGTTTCGTTCCACGAATCAACTAGTATCCTTTGTTGTTTATGCGTGAGATCACGTTTTTGCTCTCCCGCCGGTATCATTTAGCATCGCTTTGAATGTACAAAGAAAATTGATTTCTTTTGCTATAATATTCAATTTTTAAAGGTGAAATAAAGTTTTGCATTCACACGGGAGAAAGAAGACAGACGATATGGCGCATTACGATGCCGATATGGAATCGGACTTTGATGGGTGAGAACAATAAAATCAATATTGTTGAAATTTTTATGATTTAATCAAGAATTTTATTTTAATTTTATAGATATTTATGAAAAATATAGTTCTTTTTATACTTTTTATGTACAACTTTAGAAATGTAACATTAAATTTGTGCTTTATATATATATATATATATATATATATATATATATATATATATATATATAATATACATATACACACACACACACACACACACACACACACATATATATATATATATATCTCATAATATATAAATATATTTATTATTTATATATGATTTTTGTCACATTTATATACTTTTTATAGTGTTATCATAACTTTGATATAACATTTGCACAATATATTAAATATATTTATATATATTTCTTATATATGTGTTTTATGTATTTTTTATGTTAATATTTTACTTTGTATTAATTTTAATTTGCATAAATCACTTTTTACAGGGCAGAGCCAGAGTATACAATATATGTGAATAATTTGCCACCAGAATTAGATAAGGTATATTTTGCTCATTTTAATTTAATTATTGAAAAGTTTTGTCTATATATATATATATATATATATATATATATATCTTTATTGACTTTTTGATTTTTACAATTATTGACAATTTTTAATTATATATTGCTTATACATGCCTTATATTATTTATTTTTAATTGATTATGAGATATTCATTAATATGAATTGTGATAACATTTAAGGTTGCTATTAGACAAGTTTTTAGTCAGTATGGTCTAATTACGGAAATGATGTATCCTAATAATGCCACATGGGCTTATATTACATATAAATCATATCGTGAAGCTGAACTTGCTATACGTGAACTCAATGAAAAGAAACCATTATATTTAAAAGTTGCACTTGCGAAAGGAAGATCTGTTATAAAAAAGGAGGAATCACAAAAATCATATGTACCAAAAACTTTTGAAGGAAGCTCAAACGCAAGAGACTCTATTGCAGAAACACTTTTGTCTACTTGCAGTGATATAAAACAGTATTATCAATTATATATTTTATATTAGTTATTATTGAGATGTTATTACAAAACAATAATGCAAAGTTTTTAAATCATAATATATATCTTACACATGTACTGATTCTTTAAATGTATATAGATTATAGTATTGTAGAAATATTTAAGATGTGAGCATTTAAAGTTAAAAAGACTAAAAAATACATAAATTGAGAATATACAACAATTTTAACTTGACAATATATGACAATTTTTGTTTTATATTTTTAATGCAAAAGTACGATATAAATAATAATATATATATGTGTATATACATATATATATATACACACACACATACATATATATATATATATATATATATATATATATGAAATTGTAGTCAAAAGGGTGTAGGTCGTGGCCAAATACTAAATTCCTGTAGGCAAGAGAATGGATCCTCATTATCTTCTTTGCATGGATCTTTACAAGGACTTAATGCTTATGGTTTGGAGGAACCTTTGAATACAAATAGATTATGGTCGAGGTTATTATATTTTGTGATTAAATAAATATATTATAATGATTATGTATTTATTGTATTTAGTATGGTTATTGTATTTTATATCTTATTTCAGAGGTGTTGTAACTGTTACACCAGATGGACGGAGACATGTAGCACTTGGACGTGGTTATACTCGATATGAATATCCAGCACCTGAGCCTAAACTTGAGGAATACATTGCAAAAGTATATGAAAAACGGCACATGGTATGTTGCAATTATACACAAGGAGATAAAATTATATAAAAGTATAAAAAATTATTTTTATATAAAAATATTAACATATTACTGAAAAGAATTGTTTACTATTATTATTAAATCAATATTTTATATATATCAGTCAATAGAGCCAAACGCGATGTTATTGCGAAAAATTAATTGGGAATGTATCTTATGGTTGAGATCTCTAAATTCCCGCGTATTTCTCTTTTAACCTCCCCCCCCTCCCCTCATGTAAAGAAATAGCCGAGAAAAATCAATATTGTTTATTATTTATTGCTCTAATACTTAGTGATGTAACTGATAATTTGTCTTATAGAAATTACAAGATTAATTATTTTATATTTTTTATTTTATACAGGGGTTATATGAACATGGAGAGGACAAACTTGAAATACGCAAGTGCTTTATCTGTTTTATTAAAACGACTAGAAAGTGTGAAAAATGTAACACATACTATTGCAGTGAATTATGTCAAAGACGTGATTGGCCTCGACATAGAGTCGAGTGTGAATGCATACCGTAATTATATTTATATACATTAATTAATAAATAAGTTTAATGTGTGGCAAATTGTGATATGTAACAATTAAAAATCATATTTAATTGCAAATGTGTACTCTTATTTATATTATTTTTATAAGCTTTTTATTTTGAGATAAAAATATTACTTGTGGATGAGATCTTTTTATTATCAGTGATATTAGCTATCAAATAATATAAACTAATTGTAATATTAAGAAATTGTAATATATTTGTTCATTACATTCTATATTATTATTCACGTTTGTTATACATTTAAAAATTTTAATTATATAGCAAACTATTTTCTCTTTACAGAAAATTAGTGGAAGAAACAGTTAATGATATGTCATTGCTGCAAATTAGCAAAGATGAAAATCAAACAAAGATATCAAAACTAAATTTAACAGGTAAAACGATTGCACCTGAGGTGAAATTACGGCGACCTAATGCATCTAATACAATGCAAATGGAAAATTCAAACAGCACAAATGCAAGTCCTAATATGCAGCAAAAGAGTAATATGGATATGAACTCTTCTATTGATAATGGGACCAATAATCAGGATATGCATTTGTCTACTCGGCATGATAATAATACTAATGCATCTTGCATTAAAACAGCAGATCAACCAATATTAAATACAACGAATACCATAGATTTTTCTAAACAACATCAGTCACACAGATATAATAATAGTAAAGGGGATACTGAGAAGTTACGAAGAAGTGATGAATATTCTTCGGCGACATCTAATTATAAGAACCAAAATCGTAGTAGTCATCAAAACGGTGCTATAAAGAAGACTAGTCCTAGGGACCAAGAGAGATTCACTAATAATAGTAATTTAAGAGATAGAAATTATAATAGTGATAAAAATCAATCTTATCAAAGGAACGAATCGCAGAATAACAGAAAATTTACTGCTTGTAATAGAGAAAATGCCAATAGAGAAGGAAATAACAGTTCGAACAATAATTTGATGAATGACAATATAACTTTTTATAATGATATGTATTTGTCAGAAACAGAATTTACAGAAGTAGAAATTTCAATATCATTGAGCAATGGTGAATATTGGATATGCAAAACGACGGATACAGAAGCGCGTGAGCGTTTAATGATTAAGTTACTCGATGTTGCAAGAAAATCTCACAACGTACAGCCGATTGTTGGTGGTATTTATGCTGTACTTTTCGAAACTGCTTGGCAGAGAGCTATGATAATATCCTTAAATCCTACAAAGGTTCATTTTATTGATTATGGTAACGATGAAATGTTACAAAAAGATGCCGAAATCAGAGAGATACCAGAAAGTTTGACTAAAGTCCCTAATTTTGCTAGAAAAATTCGCTTGTCATCAACCTCAAGTGAACAATACAAGAATTTTAAATATAATGATAAAATCTTAGTTAGAATGTTATCCATAGATGCTGAGAAAACGATAATAGTAGATATCAAAGAGCAATCAAAAAATATATTTCCACATGTGAAAAGTTCTCCAAATATGAATAATGTGAAAGAAGAATTTGTACGACAAGAAAACTTAAAAGCATCAAATGAAAGTATAAACCTTTCCACGATTGAGAGGCCTAATACTTTAGATATTTTGGCTAATTTGTTAACTCAGAAAGCGGATACCAAACATCTCGAGGGCTTTATAATAATTAATGAATGTATACAAGAGAATAGATATGGTGCAACTTTGTTTCAATCTACTCTGGAATTAGAAAGGCTTTTCAGTAATTTAAAAGAGGATAACTTGAAAATGCAAGAATGTGCGCCCAAGTAAGCATGTGTAAACAAATTATATTTAAATATTCTACATTAATTAATATTAAAGATTTGTAAATACATTTATTATATATTACATTTAAAATATTATATAAGTATAGATAGTTGGAATAAATAGAAATATTTTTATTTTTAGAGTAAACGAGTTGATTTGCGGTGAAAGAAATAATAACTGGGTCAGAGGATACATAATACAATCTTCGACGTCATCCGATTTACGTATGATCGCAATAGATGAAGGTAGAATTATGACAGTAACCAAAATTGTACCATGTCCTAAAGAGTTACAAGACATCTGTGTTTTTGGAGTAATATGTGAAGTAAAACATCCAGACAAATTGAATGTTGTAAGTCTTTAAATACTTTACATATTATAATATATTGCTCACGCGCGCGTATACGTTTACATGTATATTAAAATATTGTATGTGCATACATGTTAAAATATTCTGAAATTTGTTTTAAGTAGATTATTATAAAGATGTTTGTTAAAAAAAAAAAAATACGCGCTAAAATATAATTTCTAAATATTATAAAGAAATTTAGAAAGAATTTATTCTAAAAAATATAATAATTGTAAAATAGATTGTATAATTTATGTTGTGTTATTTAAGTTTAATTTTTATTATTGAATGTTACAAGGAGGATATATATGAGTTCAGAGCAGTCGAGAATGAACAAAATTGTAAGCAAGAAAATATTACATTAAAAATAAGTAAAGACTCCGAATTTGTATGTGAAGCTGTGGTAAAATCCTGGAAATCTATTATACCAAAAAACTCAAAGCCACTTCCCGCACTTTCCGAAATAAAAAATGGATCTAAGGTTTGATTTTGCACTTAAAATATTAGTTTAATTTTAAAATAATTAATCTTTAAATATAATGCTTTAAAAGTCGTAGTAAGATGGCAAAGATAAACAGACACATCTATGGAAATATAAATTGTTTAATAACTAATACCATGTGGATTTTTATTTGTTATGTACATAGAAAGAAATAAATGTATATGATGAGCAATGTGAGAGATGTAATCTGTTTGCTTATTCAACTTTAGTTTATATATATCATTGAAGTAAATTGAAGTTGATTCCATCGTTTTATTTGATTATTTCAGATATGTATTACCTCTTATCGAAATCCTTCTACAGTGTTCGTACGTTCTCTGGATGAAGAGGCAGTAGAATATTATAACAATATTATGCAATGTGTTGCACAATGTGCACGAACGGGTAAAATAACTAATTAAATAACATGATAGGATGATGATAATTATGAAATGTTTTATGTTGACAAGTTGTTTTATTGCAGCACCGTATTTAAAGGAGCTTCCAAATAATAGGCAGTCAGTCATCGCGCCATACTCTGATGGAAATAGTTATCGTGCAATGGTCGTAAAAACGCAGAATGATAAAGCTCAAGTAGTATATACAGACTTTGGAAATGTCGACGAAGTTAACATAAAAGAACTTCAAATCTTACCGGAAAACTTGGCACTAGTTAGTGACATTCTTGCATTACTGTGATACATTAATATGAGAGAAGAGTTGTAATATTTCGTTGGATATATCAATTAATTTTTTTGTCTATACATTTATAGCAACGAAGTTGTTCAGCAAAGTTAATTTTGAAAGATGTTCCTTCCGATATTTCTGAGAATGCAGAAGTAGACCTTTTCCTGCGCAAGTTAGCAGGCGATGAAACACCCCTAACGTGTGTACACGAGGGTGATCTAAATGGAGTTTATTTGACTGCAATATCTACAAAACAAAGTATAAATGATGAGATAAACAAGTTATTAATACCAAATTGGAAGCGGAACAATTGTCACGATGGTAATTAATTATAATTATGAGATATGCTTAGAAGTAACTTTTTTTTTTTTTTTTTTTTTTTTTTTTTTTTTTTTTTTTTTTTATGAAGATTTTTAATATATTATTTTGTTATCTAATACACTATTTTCCAATATGATTTTAATTCCACTATGCAAAACACTATTTAACAAAATTGGTCGAGAAAAGTATATATTCTTTTCTTTTAACTAGCTTTGCTTTTTATTTTTGTTTTACACACACGCACACACAACATTTTTATGCAACCATATATTAAAAATTTGCTTTTCGAAATAAGAGTTATAAATTTATTTTTTATATATATATAGATAAAACTTGCTATAACTTGAACCATGTAGAAGTTGCTAATTTAGGAGAGGTGGGTAAAACAATAAATGCACTTGTGCTACATGTACAGGAAGAAGGTGGCTCGCTATATTATATGAGTCCTTATGATATTGAACTGTACGCTTATATTACTGAAGTATTGCCCAATATGGTAAATAATTGTGTTAAAAAATATTTACATTTTTTTTTTGTATTTTGTACAATACACAAGGAATAATATTTTATTTTGTTGCAGCTAATGGAATACTGTGAAAAGACAGAACATTATATACCCAGACAAAATGAATTATGCTTAGCATTGTATCAAGGTACATGGTACCGTGCAATATGCATTAATCCAAACCAATCACAAACCACAGCTGAAGTTATATATATTGATTATGGTAACCAGGAGTCAGTGGAACATAAGAATATAAGATTAATACCTAAAGACTTTCTTACACCCTCGGCAATGGCAAATATGTGTAAAGTTGTCAGTGAGTATTATCAGTAAATATGAAGTGCACATAATTATACAACAATAATTTTTCTATTCAAACTCTTATGTATCATTTATTATAGATTTGGCACCTGTCGACAATACAGGAAATTATTCACCTGCTATAAAACGAAGATTGGCAGAGTTAATACCAAAGAATAAGGAACTGATTGTGAAAATCAAAATTGTGGAAGTCATTTCTCAACAATCTGGAGAATATAATATAGAATTAGTCGAGATAAAAAATAAATTAATAGAAGAAGGTCTTATTCCGCCTTCATAAGGTTTTAATTTTCACTTTCATAAAGATTAATAAGGATGATGTCATCTTGTGTGAAGATTAAGATTTTATTTTTTATTTTAAAACATTATATTGATACAATTCCATTGACATTTCTTATCTATTTTAAACTGTAAACACATTTATATACACTGATGTTACATGAGTATTATACGTTACTCTTTTTATTTTATATCTAGTTTATCATCATGTGTTCTGTGTTTTTAAATAAGAAATTGTTTTATTTTCCTACATTTAATCATGTTAACTTTAATACAACAATTTATTTTACAGTTTAGTATTTTTAGTTTTAGAACTACTTGGTTAAGTAATGAGAGTTTTGCAATTTATTGAAAAATAAATTTTTACAATCTTCCATGACAAACTAAATAAAGCTATGTCGCGATTTCTTCTAACCTATCTTACAGCAATTCTATCCTAACCTTCCTGAATGTGTCACTTGAATGCGATATCGCGTCAGTTTAGATGACATATCTCCCGAAGAAACCCCGCCGCGTTCGCAGAATAAAAGGCTTCCAAGAAATAAAAACAACGAAAGCGAAACGATGAACGTACAGACGAGGCATCCCTACGAGGGTTTACTGCACAAGTACACTAATGCTATGAAAGGCTGGCAGTATCGTTGGTTCATCTTGAGTCCCGAGACCGGTGAACTGCATTACTTCCTCAGCGAATCTGAGAAAAATCAAAGGCCACGGTGTTCGATATATTTAGCAGGTGCTGTGATAGCCCCCAGTGATGAAGATTCAAACACATTCACTGTCAATTCTGCTACAGGTAAATATTGCAAGTTCACTATTTTTCTTTTTCATATTATTTTGCATAAAGATAAATGTTGACATGAAGATTTTAGCTTTTAAATTTCTGATACCTGTCCTCGTCTAGGTGACATGATTAAACTACGGGCCACTGATGCCAGAGCACGTCAGGAATGGGTGGATAAGCTGCGAGCAGTTACGGAGATGTATACCAGGGCTATAGCCAGCAGTCATCCTCCGTTACCACCTAGAGAACATTCTGGGAATTCGAGCAGAAATCCTGTCGTTAAACTGGAAGTGCTGGACGCTTTTGCCAACTGTCAGGAGCAATTGAGAAAAGTGGAGAAACATAATCTTGCTCTGGCACAATCCATTGAGAACTCGGATTTGCATCTAGATACAGATCTCTTAGTTCTCAAAGCTATGGCACATACTACCTTGCATACACTGAGCCAGTGTCTGAATATATTATATCAGTAACAAATTAATCATATATATATATTTTTTATGCTTATCTATTGATATTAACATTTTTATACCTATAGAAATACACATACATGATAGATTATCTTCCCATTACAAAGAGTTCATATATATTTTATTTTAAACTTTGATTTATTACTATTGTTTACTTATTTATGATTATTGGGCCAATTTTTTCCTATATAATTTATTAAAAGCAATATAAATATCTCTTGATCGTTATATCAACATCAAGATCAACATTATAAGTAATTTTTCTTCATTTAATTTTTACGAAAAACTGATTTACATATTTTTACATCTTATATAGAGAAAAATACTACATATTAATAACTGTTACACCAATTCGATTTAACAAATATGAAGGTATTAAAGTTATTTTTAATTTATTCTATCAAATTGTAATATAGTAAACTTTTTAAAAGATTATACATATATTAAATCATCATAATATATAGGTAAATATAAATATTTTTATTTCCTATAATTTTATTATATATGATTTGATTTTTATCTTTTGTTATTAATGCATTGAAAAATTATATTGCTTTTGATAACGGCTCAGTCAATGACAATCTTGGTGTATGTTCTTCCAAGTTAAAAATGTACAAATAAAAATGTAAAATATTATTTAACAGTATATAGATTGTTCTAAAATATATAATAAATCTGTTAAGGCTTTGTACAAGCATGTACACGCGTATTCTAAATTTTCTATTCTGCAAAATAATTATAACATTCTTTTTTCCTTTGCTTTAATAAGACTTGATTTGTTATAGAGGATATCAAGGAGATGAAATTCAAATATATAATATAAGATATATCATCACATACCATATTCATTTAAAAATATATATAAATTTTTAAAAATTCTTAAAAAAAGTATATTAAAAAAGAATTGTTGTCTTTTAAATATAGATCTAAATTTAGCATATTATAATTTTTATTTATAGCTATAAATAAATTGACATTTTCGTTGAAAATATTTTATTTCTAAAAAATATTAAAGTAAAAGGGAAAAAGAAATGATACGAGTGCGTTCATCATAGTATGATGTAAGATCCAATGTCAAGAGCGTGTAAATAGGTGAAGGTAAACGAGTGACTTTTCTCTCTCGTTGAGAGATCAGACGTGATTCAGTTTCAAAGTAGTGTCTTGCTCAAGGTACTTTAAAAATCAAAGAGAAACATTACGCGTATCGTGTGATAAAGTTTATATTTTTTTAATATTAAATTTGTGATTTGTGTATGTCTAAGAGTTTGAAAATATATTGATTAATTTTTCTGCGTTGTTAAAACACGATTTTATATTGTAAAAGAATGTGAAGTAATTTTTGTCCATGTAAATAATAATTCTGGAGCATGCCGCGCATTTCTTATCCTGAAGTTTTGGCAGAAGCTGCAGGTGTGAAGATCGTAACATCTCTGCCTGAAGAAGATGCGGATTTTTTCCGTCAGGAAGGATAGTTCTTAAAATGCGAAAAATAAATGCAGCATCGGACGTGCATGGAAATCTTGCGGATTCCATCTGACCAAATCGAAATGGGATCCCTATCCGTGGATCGGTTACGTCGAAAAGAATAGTCTCGCTGATCTAGCAGGATTGAGGTGAGTTTTACCTGTGTTTTAAAAATTATTAGAGAGAGCAGCATAAAAATAATTATTAAGAATAAAAATAATTAATTGCTTTAAGTATTTGGACATATCATTGACAATAATTGAAAGGCCAAACGTTATATAATTTATAATTACAGTAAATATTAAATTTTATATTGAGAAATTATATAAATAATTTAATTTGTGTGATTCAAAATACATACAATTTATTTGCTATGTTTTATCAGAACCGGCGATTGTCTACTGGCCGTTGACGACATTGATTTATTAGGACTAAAAGTCAAAGATATCGCTACTTTGATTTGTAACGAGGAAGGTATACACGATGTAAATTTTTCCATCTGGCGATATCCGCATCAAAAAGAGGAACATGATATTGGATTAGCATTGAAGGGTCCACTTCCGGATGTGGCTAGAAATCTTGCAAATGCCTTATCAGGAACGGTATGTATTAACTTTTCCCCGTTTGTTCTCATTTGTATGAGATTACTCATCTGTTAGAGATTAATATTATAATTAATTATTAGTCTAGAAGATTAATCCAATGTTAAATTCCAAACAGTTATACAAAAATGTGATCTTCTTTCTTTCATTAAAGAATAATAAACTTTAAACAAAAAGAAAATTATTCACGTTTTTTATATTTTTTAGGTTCGTGCCTTAGAATGTCCGATTTGCTTGGAAAGTGCTGCGCCTCCAGTCTCGCAATGTGTCCACGGTCACATCCTGTGCGTTATTTGCAGACCGAAGACGTCTCGTTGCCCGATTTGCAGAGTCCGTTTGGGCCAAGGCCGATGTCTCCTCGCAGATAAATTGCACGCAGTGCTTCGCGATGCTTTTAACGTGAATAATGACGAGACGTTAAACAATACGTCTATCGCATCCGAGCATTGTAATTTACGCGAGCAACTGTTCGGTAAAAATAGTAAAAAGCGAGAAACCCCGAGCCTAAGTCGCTCGAAAAATAATTGTACTATGTTGAAACCGAGGCAATTCTTGTTGGCCAGATTGTTATTCGGAAGCAGGGAAAAAGCCGTCTCCGCGGATAATCTTACCAGAGTATCTGGAATTTCGGAAGGAGCAACGGCGAGTCTCAATGAAACGACAGACTCCAACAGATTGTCCTTGAACGATCGTACCAAATCAGCCAGTACCGGCGAGTTATCGAGGGATAGCGAAGTTTGCATCAATGATTCGTCTTCTCGAATTGAAGAATCATCAGCGACGAACACAGACAGTCGACAGTCGTTGAGTTTGCCGCAAACGCCAATTTGGGGTGGCTCCACGGATTCTATGTCTTGTGTACAATTAACATGTCCCCTTTCGCAATCTTGCAGAGAACTAGTGACGGCTGACTCGTTACTGGAGCACATCAGGACACATCCGCTACCACAGATTCATTTCTATTCCGGAAGTGCAAGGATCCCGCTACCGCTTCCTTTTGGACACGATGCTTTTTATATATTTCATCACGGAAGTAACATATTCTTCTTTCAGGTATACTTTTGTAATGCTTTTGCTTTTCCAATGTAGCAAGTAATTTCTCTTTGCATTTGTGTGTGAACAATCTTTTAAGTCTTTGTGATCAACTCCTCTGTTTAAAGGCGATAGAAACAAATTCGAAGATCATATCATTCCACTCACAATCGGATTAATGTTCCTGTTGGTGTAAAAACATAATACTTATTAGTGTGTTTATTAGTTTTTAAATTGTTTATCAGATAAATAATTAAATATTTATCTGAAAAACTTCTTTGAAATATTCGTTCATTTAATAATAAGTTGTATGCAAAAATGAAATAAGAAAAGATAAAGAATATATTAAACATGAGATAAAATTTGATTATGTGTATATATCATTTATGCATTCTCGCTTATATTGAAAAAAAAATAATTTGACAAGAGGATATATTTTTACATTCAAATATTTTGTTCTATAAAAGAGATAATATATATTATAAATTCTTTGCGATACTTTCAAGATGATTAGTCATTTTGATTATATCCTGATATTTTTAGAAAATCTGATAGAATCAGATAAAAACTGTTTATGTATACATATATTAAATGTTCTTATGTTCTGAAAATTTGTTCTATTTTCTTTCGCACAAAACTCTGTTATATAATTGTCAATATAAGAGAGAATGCATGCAATAAGAATGTTTATGTACAATATAAAATAATAAAAAAAATATTTAAAAAATAATGAGAAACTCGATCAAATTAAAATAAAATGAGGGAAGATTAGATAAAAATTATAATTTTTTATGATTGCAGTGCAGAGATGAAACAGCATGGATGACATGCCCTGCTAAGGTGACAGGATACACAATAAACAATACGTGGGAATGGACATTACACGCTTGGGGCGATGATGGTACAGAAGTGCAATTACGAAGACATGTCGCGAGCCTCGAAGATCCTTTAACATTATCTTCACAACATATCGCATCAATACCAACCGCATTATTGTTGAAGATTATTAATATAAAAATATTAGAGCATCGAGTTCATGACAAATTTTATGTATGAAAAGGCTAAAGCATTCTTTCTTCATCATATTTATCTCATTGGCAATTAATATTAAAATGTATATTTCAAAAATTTCGAAAAAAGATAAAATCGTTTATTTCTTATTGATGTGCCAGTTTAACAAGTGAAGAACACATCGTAATTGTGTATTATTTTGAATATAAAATAGATTTTAAAATTATACTTATTGTAATGTAATATCAAATTGTTTTACATAAGCAATGTACCTTAAGAGTAATCGATCAAAAAGAACATCAATGTTAATATATGATATTTAACATGCAATAATGACAACTTAAAATTATATATAGGCACTAATAACTAACTTAAAAACTAATATGCATTAATAATTACAATTATTAAAGTGTAACATCAAATTGTCTTAGATAAACGCATGCAGGGTAAACGAAATATATCGAAGAAGAAAACCTCAATATTATAGATATTTAATATGCAATAATGATTTAATTTACTTAAAATAATTGATATTCATGATATATATTTGCATTTCTGATATACTCGCATTACTTTCCATAATAATGTTTAATACACTTTTATCTCACAAGAATGTTTTTTTTTTGTTAAAAAAATTATCACCAATAATACGTTATTTAATTTCTGCAGTTTAAAAGCTAAAAGTTGCTATATTTCATGAATATCAATTTTCAATTATATGATAAATCACGCATAATAATAAGATAAAATCACATATAATCATAATTATGCAGATATTACTTTTAAAACAAAAAATAAGAAATAAAACAAAGAAAAACGAGCTTAAAACTTATAGTAAAACATCTTTTTCCACGAAATGTAAAAATGCCATGAAATAAAAAAACACAGCTCTCTTAATTATATGGCATTTTGCGCAATATCTCATCCATATATGGCTTAAATAATTCATGTTGGCCATTTCTTGCTGCTTGACCGGCCATAACATCAAACGCAAACTTAAGAACTGCTAAATAATTCTCTTTACCAACAATATTTAAATCTACATTATAAACGTGTGTATCACATGATGATAGTAGTATTTTTTTAGCATTAGGTAGTACATTACAAAGCTTTCGTTTAGGCATCGGGGATATGTGATCCCTTTCCTCTTTTGTTAAATCTCGTTTGGGACAACTGCAGACTCTAATTAATAATTTTCGACGACCTAATACTCTTCCTGCATGATCTTCTAATGTAAACACTAGCTCTGTTGGTCTACGATTTAAACCAGAGGCGCAACTATTTTTGCAAAGAAACTTGAAAGACACTGGCATATATTGTGCCCCAGGCTCAGGTGTGCAAAGCGGTGTTAAAACAGAAAGATGTTCATTTCTCTCTTGATAAGTGCTTGAAGCATGATTAACACAATGAACCACATGTTTAATCTTTTGTGGCTCCATATTTTGATTAATGGGATTGGTTGGTGCCATATGATTGTGACATCTTTTTACTGGCTCGCTTCTATATTGCTCCAACATGAATACCATTGATGTGCGTAAGTACAAACCTGACATTGGTGGTTCCCATGTAAACCGCATAGGTAAAACTTTCTCCATTTTGATAAAGACTTTCTCCAGTGTCTCAGAGTACTATATCCAAAAAATAACCAATAGTTATTTTATAGTTATTATTATAAAATCTCTATCAAAAATTAGAAAATCACAAAAATTCTAATTTACAAAATATCAAATATAAGACATTATTATTAAGAATAATGTTATCATGCATATTCAACACATTCATAATTAATCTGTCTACTACACAAAAAGCTCTTAAACTTGCATATAAAATCTACTTATATATGACTTTATTATAAATCTACTTATACATGAGTTTATTATAAATCTACTTATACATGAGTTTATTATAAATGCATATAGTGTATCATAATTTTTTTACAAGTTTAATTATTATGATTAAATTTAAGCAGATCTATATTTCAATTAATCTGGACACTAAAGAGCATAAAAACCTCCAAACAAAATATCTTACTTTCAATATCCTCTCACAGTTTTGTGAGTGTTGTAAAATAATACTCAAGAAGCAGTTTTCATAGGTCATAAAATATTCCATATAAAAATTATATAACCAGGATTAAAAATTAATCAATTTATCATCAAGAGGCAGAATTTATCTGCAAGTAGGTATATGTTATTTCCTAATGGACCTCAGCCTAACTCACGAAATATACAAGTATTAAATCTTTCCATACATCAAATTATATAACAATTTTATGAGTTATATAATTTAATGGGTTTGTACATAATATACAAGATTGATTAAGGTACTTACCAACCAATCCTGACCAGTACCACCAGTTCCTAAACTGCATTGAAAATTCAATTGTCCAGTGAAAATATCGTCAGTAAGCATCGTAGAGAATAGCTCTGGTGCTGGAAAATATGTATCTTCCTCTTCCTCTTTCAATATTTTGCATTTTCCCACAGATTCTAATGTAGTATATTGCAAAACTTTATTGTACGTGTCAACTTTTTCTTCTGGGAGCAGCAGTTCCTCGTTTATTGTTTCTAGTGGCAGGGTGCCTCCTCTTTAAGAACAATGAGAACAAAAAAATTTTAATAGATATTATGGTATGCACTATTTTAAAAATATGTGAATATAAAATTGAGAAAGATTATAACAACGTGATACACAATAGCCGAAAGCCGGCCAAGAATTTTAATAAAAATTATACATACAGCTGCTGTTCTATAGCCTTGTACGTTTCATCATCCATCAATGCAGACTCTTGTGAATCTGACATAACATTTGCGTTAGTCATGTTTATTTCTATTTAAATTTCTATTTTGAAAATTGATATCTCGTATTTGAAGAACAATAGATTACATAGTTTAAAGATCAAGAGAAATGTCTAGAAATGTCCGCCATTCACTGGTTGCCAACTCAAATCCTTTGTTTCTTTTTCAAGATTTGAGAAGCACACGCAAATCTTGTATGACCACGAATGACATCTATACACACACATCCAGTTCGCAAACTAAAATGACAAATCTTGTTTTCGATTATCGATAAAATCACTGCTCAGTTGCACATGATTTTTTCTTGAATTTATAATATATATAATATATACATATATATATATGTATATATATTATTATTAAAATATTTTCACACTATGACATATATATTCTTGATAAGAAAACGATTTTTCGAAAATATTAAAGAGAGAGAAATAAGATATATGCTCTTTCTCTCTCGCTTCACCGTGCTGCGCAATGGGGGACGATGGTGGGGGATTGGAATGCGCAGCTGTTCCCCCACTCCGGGCGCGTCACGTGACGCGTGACGCAACCCCCCACTTTGCGCCCGTCACGTGACACGTGACGCGCCGCATACCAGCGCCGGCTAGCGGTCAATGTCGATTCAAAGTCGCACGCATCAAGATGTGCTCTCTCTCTCTCTCTCTCTCTCGCTAGGATAATTAGGTATTGTACGAAAAATTCTTTAATTAAAGCAGTGTTGTGCGGTAACATTAAACGCATTGAAGCATGTAAAACGTAATTATAAAGCGCATCGCGTAGAATACTTTGATCAAAGTAATATAACGACTCGTAAGCAAAAAAAAGTGTTTCGCGTGTGCAGCGAAACATCTCGTGGTATATTTTTAACTGTGTGTGTGGCGATCCTATTGTTATATGGCATTTCTTTCTAAAGAATACATTATCTGTTTATACATATATATGTGTGTGTAATGCATCTTCGCAAAATAAATGATCAATATCGATGTTACAAGTTTGCACACACATATATCTCTTTTCGTGAGTTCTGTTTCATCTATTTGCCTTATTGTCTTGATGAATTCTGTGAAAAGCTTGATCGATCAATAGGAATAAAAGGTGTATATTTCTCTGCTTTGATTGTCGATCAATCCAATAAATTATTTCTCTCAATTTTCGCGGTTTATTGACAATCTATGCATTTACTTTATTCAAAGCATTCGATCACGTAGGACAATAAATTCTCACTTTTTGTCTCGACTAAAGAATGAAGGATTCACGAAACTAATTATTTGTAACTTCTTTATGTGGAGTGAAATTGTTTCCAATATGTAAGTAAACAGTAAAATTGGAAAAATTCTTTCGTAAATATTCGAAAGCATAAAGATTTTACATGGCATTTGAGTGTATCAAAGGTGTATATTATATGTACGGTTCAATACAAAGTAGAGATTGCAATTTTGCGTGATATATATTATATATTATGTTTCAATTAATAGAACTGTATACAAATAAATAAACATATGTAAATAATTTTTTAAAAATATATATTTAAAATATATTTTTAAAAATATATATTTAAAACACATATTTTTACAAATATATATTAGTTTATGGTATAATGAGACGCACACATAAGTGTCCCGATATCTGCACATGCGCGTTGCATTGTGGCGGGAACCATATGTGGCGACCCCACGGCAAGGTATGGCCCCCGCTGGAAGTAAACGACTCCAATATGGCGAATGTGAGAGATAGTGATACGTCGTTGTGGCTACATAACAAGCTCGGTACATCAAACGATAGCTGGACCGGCAGCTCGATCTGCTCGCAGCTCAATGCCGAGGTATTGCGGAATATCAAGGATTGTTTTCCCGACCTACAAACGCAGGTCAAGCTCAAGTTGCTCCTGTCGTTCTTCCACATACCCAGACGCAATGTGGAAGAGGTAAGCACGCGTTTGCTTTCATCAGATATTTTCTATTTTCTGATATTTTCTATTTATCTCTCTTCTTCTCTTTCTTTTTCTCTTTATCTTTTTATCGATAATATCGCTTTCTCGAAGGAAACTCCTTTCTAACAATAAGAATCAGAAAAATTAATGATTAACGCAAGTTTTTCAGTTTCGTTTTATTATTTACCCGCTATCTGTTTGATTGTTTTTAATGGTGCGATGTTTTTGAGACGCTTAGTACATACAGAGAGTGTCTATGTAAGGCAATAAACTACCATTCTTTAATTCGATATAAATCGAATAAATAATGTAATTGCTATATGAAATATATTATATTATTTGATTTCTTTAAACATTTCTGGACAACACTTATAATGGACAAATATAGAATCTATTTTACTTTTCTTGTGTGAAATCTTTGACTAAAATTTTTATTGTTTGTATCTTTGCGGATAACAGTGGCGTGTTGAGCTGGAGGAAATTATTGAGGTTGCGTCTTTGGACAGTGAACTATGGGTATCAATGCTATCCGAAGCGATGAAAACTTTTCCATCAACTGGTTCTCTGAACACAGATATCACTGATCTAGATGAACATAGACCTATCTTTGGCGAATTGGTCAACGATCTTCGGAAACTTTTGAAAAAACAAAATGACCCTGCTATGCTTCCCTTAGAATGTCATTATCTTAACAAGACTGCATTGGTTTCGGTGGTAGGTCAACAACCTACACCGGTCAAACATTTTACTCTTAAGCGAAAACCCAAAAGTGCAGTTTTGAGAGCAGAATTGGTTCAAAAAAGCACAGATGCTGCTAATAATCTCAAAAAGAGTACTGCTCCCACTGTACCAGTAAGAAGCAGAGGAATGCCAAGAAAAATGACTGATACAAGTAAGTGTTAACATTATACAGTTAAATTTGTACAATTAAAGTTATACATATAAAGTTATAAATTCATATTATATTGTTGATCGATATTGTTGCAGTATATATGATTGTATTCAACCTTTTCAGCACCTTTGAAAGGGATTCCAAGCAGAGTGCCAACGAGTGGTTTTCGATCTCCTTCACTTACGAGCACTTCTATGTCCAACAGAACATCAATTAGTAGTAGAATTCGAAAAGATGGTGGTATTAAATTGCTTGACATAAATGAACAGCCTCTCGGATATGCTCAAGCGAAAAAGAGGAAAAGGATGCTGGAGTTGGAAGAGCAGCAGAAGAAGGTCGCGGAGGCGCAAGCGGCCGCTGCGGCGGCGGCAGCTTCAGTGGTTACGTCAGTCGCGGAAACTCCAGCGACTCCGGAATACGCGCAAGGACTGGCCTCGATAAATCCACCCGCTACACCAGTTGCTCCAACAGTGGTTACAGCGCAATCTTATGTTGCGCCTAGTACGCCAAGCAGCATTTCAGTTACGACTGCACCACAAACACGTAAGACCAACATCACAATTTTTGGAGATTATGCTAGTTTTGTTTGGATTTTTATAGAGCATTTTATGTATACAGCTACCACATTAACTACTCCTACAACGTCCGCAACTGTATTACCAGTAGTTTCATCGATGATAATAGCACCTGTGGAAAGTACACCTGTCGCTGTGCAAACAGTTAGACCAGCCCAAACTGTCACCCAGATACGTATACAGACTACTGCACAACCTAATGCAGCAGCTAACACAAGAAAAAATCTGTCTCTTACGGTAAGTTTTAAATTTTATTCATTTCATTGTTCATCTTGAGTTTGTTTTTTCATTTATTTATATATTGTTTAAATTAATAATTTAGATTAATGGTTTAAATTAATGATATTGTTTGAAATAATGAGATTTTTTATTTTTAAATTATAGCGAGAGCAAATGTTGGAGGCACAAGAAATGTTTAGAACTGCAAACAAAGTGACGCGTCCAGAAAAGGCTCTCATTTTAGGTTTTATGGCCGGATCTAGGGGTATGTCTATTTTTTTCTATATAGATTATATATTTTTTTTTTACAATTTGTGTTAATAATATTGATTTTGTAGATAATCCTTGTCCAAAATTGGGCAATATAGTTACGGTGATGTTATCAGAAAACATAGAGGAAGTGACACAATCGGACGGAACAACCGTTCCGATGTTAGTCGAAACCCACTTCCAAATGAATTATACTAATGGTGAATGGAAAAGGATAAAAAAAAATCGACGCATTGTAACGGAGGAATCCACAGCAGCATCCACTCCTACACCGAGTGCGACTGCCACGGCTTCCAATTAAAACTTGTTCAAATTATAAGATATATGAGAGCTATATAAAGATATTGTTTTGTGCGCTATATAAAGATATTGTTTATTAAATAACGCACATTGTGATCATTCGTCTTCTTAATAGACGTTGCTGAATTAAGAGCTGATATTTCATAAGGTATTCTAACACGAAATTGTTATTAAAGTTCTTAACTGTTGTATTTGTTTTATTCCTATATCATAAACGACAAATAATTCCTTCATTCTTTCGTCAATCCTAAATTTTTACTTTGAAGTCCATTTATCGTAGGTTAAGTAAAAATTATTCAAAATTTTTCTTCATTTAAATAACACTTAAAACGTTTATGATATCCTGACAAATATAAATATATATAATTAAGAATTTTATATATGCATATATTAATAAATGATTATATACATAATTAATATTTAATAAGAATAATTAACATATTTATACATTAATTAAGAATAATTAATGTATAAATATGTTAATTATTCTTATCAAATATTAATAATAATGCACACACATACATTATTTTTCTTTAAAAAGCATATTTCTCAAATTTAAATTTAAACTAATTCTGTTTTACTTAAAAATATAGTGTTGTCAACTTTTGCCTTTTTAATTTTATAATTACTTTTATGTTCACAATCATAAATATTTCGTATATTTAAATATTAACATTTAACATGTTAACGGATATAATATATTTATTTGTGGAATGTCTATATTTTTACATTTCAAAATATTTCATAATTTTTTAAATTTACGCGGAACTGTTGATTGCGCAATACGCGTGTTAAAGGAAAAGACTGAATAAAGTTGGCAAAACTGACTGTATTTACAATACAAGATCTCTCTTCGAATCTCTCTGCGATTCTATAAGTCTATACGTTTTATAAATAGTTATTTTCTCTATTTTTACAATGTTTCGATCACTTGCACCATTATATCTACAAGGCAAAAAATTGGTAAACGTTTAAATCCATTATATATATATATATATATATTTATGCATTTGCCGATTCATCGCATGCGAATATGGTTATATTACAAGCAATATGTCTCGATATAAGTGTAAAGTCCGTTCTCTAGGTGTTCCAAGTGTTGATTCATAACAATATTTGAGATAGAATGCTTTATTTATAATTGTATGTGTCATATAATAGAAGAAACATTTGAAGAAGTAAAAAATATGCACATAAACACACAAAATAAACACATTCACATATATGCATACATACATATATACACACACACATTCATATTAAGATGTGTTAGAATGTAAAATTATAAAAAAAATTGAATTTGATCACGAATCGTCTAAAGCGAATTTAATTATAATTCTAGTTTTTAATATGATTAATATTAATTTTATTTTTAATATATTTACAGCTTGTCACTGCAACTGGATCATTGGCAAAAACAAACAATATCCTGATGAGAGAATCTATTCGCAATTTTACAGTGAGTGCAAAGTTGCTGAGCAATTGGCCACAAATTCAGAAACCTGCGCCAGAATTTTCTGGTACCGCAGTAGTTAAAGGTGACTTTAAGGAAATTAAATTAAGCGACTATAAGGGAAAATATGTCGTTCTCTTCTTTTATCCATTAGACTTGTAAGTAATTCAATTTAAATTGCTATTTATTATTTCCATAATATATTTACAATATGTAATCTTTTTGTATCTTATTTGTAGCACATTTGTTTGTCCAACGGAAATTATTGCATTTAGTGAAAAAGTCTCAGAATTTGAAGCGTTAAATACACAAGTAATTGGAGTATCGACAGATTCGCATTTTAGCCATTTAGCATGGATTAATACTCCTAGAAAACAAGGTGGCCTTGGAGGAGACTTGGGTTATCCTCTTTTAAGTGATTTTAATAAAGAAACATCAAGCAAATACAACGTTCTGTTACAAGACTCTGGAATTGCACTCAGAGGTCTCTTCATCATAGATAAGGAGGGAATTCTTCGACAATTTTGTATCAATGATCTTCCGGTTGGTAGAAGCGTCGAGGAAACATTGAGATTAATCAAAGCTTTCCAATTTGTTGAGAAGCATGGAGAAGTGTGTCCCGCAAATTGGCAGCCAGATTCCAAGACTATCAAACCAAACCCAAAAGACAGTAAAGAGTACTTTGAATCAGTTCATTAATTTAGGTAATGCATTTAATGATTTCTTTAAAAGTTAGGCATATGTAGAATATATAAATAGATTATATTAAATTTAATATATGATATTGAATTTATATATATATATATATGATAAACAGTAATGTGTATAATAGGTTAATATTTTCATTACTTACAAAATGAACAAAATCTAAAAACATATATCAAAATAATCCATATAATACCATATTTATATGCTCCTTTCACGTACATGTTATGTTCATCCTTTTGCGTAAACTTATTTGTGAAGTACTTAAGAGAAATCTCATGCTTAGATAACACAGTAACTTAAGAATAGATGTCGAGTGCAAAAAAAGAGCAATTTTCTTAATTATTTAATTAATTAATTAAATTGTTTAATTTCATTTTTTATGGATTCTAAAATGTTTTACGTTGGATTTTTTCCCGTTCGTGATTACAATTGATAAATACGTAAATTGTAAATACATTCTTAGAAGACTGTCATTTACATTTTTTATTTAGATTAATTTAATATTTTGATCTATTTGGAGAAAAATCATATAATAATTTTAAATGAAATTAATAATTAGGACAAAATTTTCTATACCTAAAAATGATTTTATTTAAATTTTATTAGAATTATAATAAATTCATTTTTTTTTTCACTTAGCATACAAATTTTGAATTATAATTGGAATATTATACTTTATGTGTGATTATGATAGTATAAGAAAAAGCTAATATTATGCTGAAATGTGTTTGTGTGTACATACACTTTAATATTGTATATATTGATAAAATTAATTTTCATTTTTATGATGTATAAACAACTTAAATTTCAACATAATATTAAATTATATTTTTAAATCAAGACTACAAAATATAATGTCCCAATTATAACTTAATTTTTATACATGTACATACGTATGTCCACCATATTAATACATAGATAATAGATAAAGTATATTTGAATCTCTCATATGGCATCCTGCAATTTCAATCTTGCATGAAGAAGTAATTTTATTTTTATAATATATGTATATAAAATGTTCAACAAACATTTGTATTAATTTTTATATAAATTATTTCTCAGCGAATAGTTCAATTCACGGCAAAATATGAAAGCGTGAAATATGACCAATTAGCATATGTAGTTGCTAAAATTACGTTGCAATACGAGAGCGAGATGTATACGCGTGGATGCCATAAGATAATTAGAACATAGCGCGGGAGAACGTAAATGACGGAATTAAAAGCCGTTACAATGTCAGTAGGCAGGTAAGCTGGCAGGTGCGCTGTTGGCACAGGCTGCCGCTTCTAAAAGCTGCTCATGATAAATTTAGTAGAGCGAGCTTATTATTTCGCGAGAAGGAGAGAGGATATACACGCGTCGTGTCTCGGGGCACCACGACGGCTCCCGGGGAACGCCCCGGGAGGAAGGGATAAAGTAACCAGAGATGAGAGCCTCGGGAAGCAAAGAGAGCCGAGGACCGGGGCGCATCGCACAACGGGAGATCGCGAGAGGGAGAAAAACTGCTGAAAAGCGACGCCTGAGATAAACGGCTCATCCCTCCATCCCTTGCGCCCGCGCCAAATCCAATCCTGGTACGGCAACCCCCGCGCGAGCATGAAAATCTCGAGACTAATCATATTCGCGTCACCGTGTAGCGTGTTCGCGTCTCGCGGTACCGCCGACAAGTTGTATGTCGCAGCGACGCGGCTTCATTATCGTCGCAAAGCGTAAAATAGGAGGAAGAGGAATTACTGCTGATACAGAGATACAGGGGTTACTTTGGCCAAAATGAAAAATGGAAGTTCTTTTTACTCTCGCGCGTATACATATTTGTCCTCGTCATTTTGGAAATTATATTTTTATACATAAGCGATACCAAAAAATCTCTTGACAGATATACAGAATAAGGGAAGTAATGTAGAAGCGCGTAAATGTAATTTTTCATTTATATTTTTATTACTTATTTTATTACTTAATTTTTTCATTTCATTAATAGTTAGATCAATATACATCGAAAATACATTTCGAATCAAGGGCAATATAATCCGTAGTTTTCCGAAATAATTCGCTTTGTACTCTGTACAGTCATGGGATAAGAGAAATTGCGACCATATAATTGTCCGATTCACTATTATATTTTGCCGATTAAGTGGTCAGATTATATCGGTATTATATTGCAAAGTCTAATCGAGGGATTTCTTGTCCACCGCCCTCGGTTTACGGTCCTTCTATTGTGGGACAGTCGAGCGTGTAACAGTAAGGTTTCGGGTCCTAATTGTGCCTGCGCCCCTACGATCTTGGCAAGTGCTCTCTAATTTTTATTTTATCAAAAATTGTAATCACAACGGCAAATCAAATTTATTGAAATCCGATGATCTCTTAAGGCCTTGCATACCAGAAACTGGTATCCATAACATTTAGATTAGATTAATATTCAATTACTAAATTGCTGATATAGGGATAAAGCATGTGTATATATTATTTTCAGCTCTCATATATTCATAGTAAAATTTGACATGGTAAATTGTCATTATAGCGATAATGATTCTCATGATTGATCTTTTACCTTCAAAGAATCTTTATTATTGACGCATCGGGTACATCTTCAGCGCTTTAAGCAGGATAGAGAGTTCGCGTCGTTTGAATATAACTCATTTCCAGTTCCCTTCCGCCCTTACCCGTCTCTCTCTTCAAGACGCCTAATAATCTTCCTACACGACTGCTCGCGAAAGGAACATTTTCTTAAAGGAGCATTCAAGGCGCGCCTTGATGACGGCTATAGGTGGATATTATAGTAGCGGGGCTTACCCTCTTGGTGGTTTGCTACTTCCAGGAGGGAGTAAGATAAGTAAAGGAGGAGCAAAACTCGTGGGGTATGAGGGTTTTGAAGCGAGAAGACACGACGAAAGGAAGGGAAAACGGATGGGGAAGGGGAGGGAGGAACCAAAAGAGGATGCACGGGATGACAGCAGGGTGAAACGGGACGAGGGAGAGAGAGAGGGGGCCGGAGGCGTGCATCCATCCATATCCATCCCGGGGTGGCTACTGGGACTTTGATTACTTGTTTTAATCTTCCGACTGCCGACTGGGCGAGCATCTGTCACTCAAAATCCGTAATTGCGCGCGGAGCCACCCCTTCGCCGGTCCACCGCCAGGGTTTTGCCTCTCTTTCCAACCCCCTTCTTTCTCTCTCCTTTTCTCCCTTTGTCTTTTTGTGTATTGCTATTACTTCCTTATTGGTCGTTTAGCACTTTCGTTCAACCGCGAACCACCGCCGATCGCACAGACTGCGCTTTAGTAATCACAACGCTGCTCGGCAACTTGCAATCACCTGGGATTTAAAACCGGGCATTTCGTTTTTGTAAGGCGTCTTTCAGTCGAGCCAACCCTCATGATACATAGGTAGCGATAAAGTACTTGTTAGTTTTTTTTTTTTTTTGAGATAATTTCTGCAGCTTTACAGCATTCCTACACGATTTCATGTTCGATTTATTCTTAACCGCATGTTATATATATTTTGAGAATTTGCATTGCAGGAAAAGATGTGAAACGTGTGCTTAGAATAATTTGCGTGAAACAAGCAAATTTACTTTATGACGAGGCAAACACTTTTATTTATCTCTTTTATATTCCAGTTTATTTAAGAGACTTACTTACTTGAAACGATTTGAAAAGAGAAGAAAGAAAAAATACATTTACCAGCTCTTATTATATATAATTTGAATGCAAACGAGCGCAGTCACTCCTGTATATCGTGTTTGTATTGTGAATATATATATTTAATTGGGGATGAGTATTAAACGAACAAACCCCTAGCGTGACTGTCCCCGACAATCTATCACCTTGTGTATATAATACACGGCATCGCGCTGGTTGCTCATCAATTTGATGAAAAGATACTCCCGACACGCCATTGTGTTATGCAAATGCTGTAATTGTAAGAAATTCTATATAAGCACAAAAGTCAATTATATCTTACTGTACACTAACGTTGACCTTTAACCGCATTATAATGAAGTCAAATAGGTGCTCATCTCTGATATTATTTGTATCGTATAACTTATTTCTCGCTTACTGTATGACTTTTATTAAGATTTTGAAAAGCTTCTTTTATTTCAAATTTATAAAGCTTTTATTAAATTATTTTGAAATATTTTACATATCACGGAGATAAATTTCTTTTACAATTAGAATTTACTCTGAAAATCATGGTAATTAATCATGAGACAATATATGGTATTGGAAGAATTTTATAAGAGTTTCTCTGATTAATATTTATCACAATAAAAAATATTAACATGTACATAGTAAAATTAATCAAACATATTTTATATTTAATGGGTAGATATTAATAATATTTTTATTGTGGTGTCAATATTTAATCAGAGAAACTCTTATAAAATTCTCCCAATACTATATTATCCCACGATTTTCAGGGTAAATTCTAAGAGAAAATTCTCCTTATGTAGGTATATAAAATTCAATTTTTTAAATAAAATATTTCGTATTTGTTTTATTTATTTTTTTTGTAGATTTATAGCTCTCTATCGCGCTTACTCCATTCACTTGCTCGTGCTCCTAAGGGTTAACTGAGATTGATGCGATCTCTATTACGTCTCTCGGATAATATCCCTGCAGATGTACGATCGCGTAATCTCGGCGATCCCAATCATTGTAAGCGAGAAATAAGACGCAGGTCGTGCAGCGCGTGGTCTCTCGATAGGATTTTTGCTGCTGCTGCTTCTCTAATTGTCGGAGTCATTCGTCCTCTTCAAAAGGAACAGATGCACCAAGCTGTATTGAAGGACGACTCTATCAGGGATCCAGGGGGGGCCCCGGTGCTCGTCTCTTGGGGTTATTTTCAGTCGATTATCCCCAGAACGCCGGGGTCAACGTTGTGCTTTAGAAAGCGAAAGCGCAAGAGAGCAGACGAGTCTATTAGCGCAAAGAAAGGCCTCACATTTGCGTATGTCATTATGTGTTCTTTAGAGAATTAAAATTTGACTATTGAAGAAATATGTACAGGCTGCCCCAACTCTTTTATTTCCTTTTGCATTTTTGATATATGTTTTTTGATATTTCTTATAAACGTGTATATTGTAAATAATATATTAATATAATATTAATATATTAATTAAATAGTAATATATATAATAAGTAATATAAAAATAAAAATAAAATAATATAAATAGTAAAAAAAGAATTAATATCAATTAATGAAGAGATGAAAATTGTAATAAAAAAATTGTGTTTAAATTTATATCACGAAGCTTAATGCGTGTTCGAGAATCATTATTGACCGCTCTATGTTATATTTCTGTTTCAGATAGTCGT